TACTCAGGGCCTAATTTTTGTCCTTCATCTTGAAGTGTTGTTTCGCAAGAAAACATTTTTGGGAGGCCTCAGGAATCGCAAAGCTCCAATCCAAATATAACCTTGGGAACAAACGCCGTGACGTGCAGACAGAATTTCTATGGGCAAATACACAGATCGAGATGTGGTCGACAAACGACGAAGCTGCCATGGATTTACAATGGTCTTTTCGCTGCTTTATCACTTATCGCTTTCTCGCAAACATCGCTTGAAAACCTTGCAGATTGGCTTAAATTTAAGTTAATATCTTTGATTAAAAGAAGGCAAAAAAGTAAGCAACGATCCTTTGTGATACATTGCTTCACTAGTCTCCTGTGGTTGTTGCTATGGGAATAACATGCTTAACATTTACAGCTAATCATTATGATAATGGTGATAATCAACAAGCTGATTTATAATAACTTGAGCTTGCAGGTCCTTGGTTACTCTTGACAGAATCTGAATATCAAAAGTAGAGGTTAACGGGCAGTCTGGTAAAAGTTTAGCAAACGTAACAAACAAGTCGAGCAACAGCCGCAACATATTAAGGGAACGGTTAAAATATCTGAGAGCAGTTATCGAGGAAAGACGTAAAAGATATATTTGCATGAAAATATATCGTTTAATTATCAAACGGATGCCCCTCTCTTCCTCTTATGTACAATTGCATTCTCAACTGAAGCAAACTCTTTTCTTTCGTACAATAAAGTGCAAGTTGGCTATCAAAGTGTCATGATTATTTCTAAAATGATGTAGCAAATTGAATTTGATACTTAAGCGATTAAGCCATCCCTTATAAACAGTAAGAAAAACTTGATGAGAAATTATATTCAGTTCTGGTTTCCAAACTTCTTAAAATTGTCATCATAGCTAAGGCCCCCACCACGCTACTGTGTTTTCGTTTGAAAACTCAAACTTTTTGTTGCGTTTTCGCCGGTTATTTACACCAAAACGCCCGAAAACGTTGATGAAAACAGAGACTCTCGGAAACGGTTGTTAATGAAAACGCTCCGTTTTAGTGTGGTTGGTGATGAAAAAATGAACAGATGTATCCGGTCTCGCGTAGGCGGAATTCCAGGTCGAATTTATTTCATAGTTTTCGGCCGTTTTAGTATGAATTAGCGAAGATGCTACGAAAACGCTGGTGCAGGTAGAAATATTTTGCCATGTTTTCGCCTATACGAAAACGGAGACTTGTGAAAACGTATTAGTGTGGTCGGGGCCTGATTTTCGTCATTCCTGCTGAAGTGTTCTTGCACGAGAAAATAGTTTGGAAGGCCTGAGGAATCGCAAGGGATCACGGGCGCTTTGCTTGTTAATCTTTCATTTGCTGTATTTTCGCTTTTACTTTTTTTTTTTTGGTTCTCTGGTCAAAAATAGGTTGTGACAGTTGGTCACCACTCTCTTCAAGTTTCATGCTCCGTGTAGTAGCTGAGCTTACAAGTATGAGCTGAACTTCATGTACAATCAAGCTTTTACTCTTTTATATTTCTCTCGCTATCGTTTGGCTATAGGGAAGGACAGGTAAACCAATTTACCAATTTTGTTTCCTTCAGAGACTTTAGAAAATGTTGTCTGTACCTTGCAATGTGTTATTCCATGTTCAATCTCCCCTTGAAAATTGTCTCCAGGGCCTATTTCATCTCAATCCATCCAGCAAGTTAATCCCTTATGCTAAAGTTTTTCTTTCAGCTCTATGACTTTAGCCTGTATATCCCACTGATACGAAAAGAACACCAGAGGCTGGGACCTGAAGACCTATTCAGCACATGTACCATGCACCAATGAGTAAAGATTTAGTTTCATCTCGGGCCAATGCCCTCGCTACTCACATCCTCGCTGGTGTGGTACTCGCGTGTCATTCTATCACGGGTTGAACTGCATCTACACTTCACTTTACTTTGGAAAATCATGTCTGAAAACATTGTTCGAATTTTCCAGTAATCCCCATGATATCGGGGCTGCTATAGCTGCGTGGATATGTCTTACCGTTATGCAAATGTATTTTTCCCGGAGCCTTTTTACTGATAAAGATAACTTGCCCTTTTCTGTTTAAAATAATCTTACGTCGATCTAATCACATGAACACCTTAGAGCGGCATTTGAACATTGCCTTCATGGTATCCCCGCACATATCATCCAATGTGCCCGCCAGGGTCAACATATTCGAACCACTCACAGTTCGATAAAAGTGCAAACTAAACGTAAAGAAAAAACGGTTAATCGCTATTTGTTTATTGGGATTATATTTATGAGCCAAAAATTAACTATTTGTCAGCATTATCTCGACGCTTACCTTCTATTTAGATGCTGACTGAAAGCAGTCAGTACAATATCCCGAAGATTAGCTGTAGTGGAACTGTTGGGAAATTCCAGTTCTTTGACTCGTCCAGTACTTTCCAACACCCGCTGGATATTGGGACGCGGTACTCCTAAAAGATCACGGAATCGTAACAGTACGAAAGAACGTTTCATATCTCTTTATCGTCTTGTCCCGCTCGTTGACATTGCTTCTTGACTATGTGATCAGCATAAACTGCTCAAAAGAAATGAAGCAATACAGAGAGTCGAAGCCTTTTGAATATACTCACATGTCAATGACATGACATTTGACAACCGACAATTCATAATTGCTAATATTCTCATGTTTTCTCGCTTTGACAGCTCTCTGGATCTACCGGAACTACATGCGGGCGTCGGCGGTGTGAACAATCACCTTCAATCGTTTCGTGAACGATTCCCCAAATCAAGAGAAAACTATGTTCCTTTAATAAAGTAAAGCTGCAATCAGCTTGGATAAAAATCATTGTGGTCCACAGCGTCGAATGCCTTTTTGAGGTCGAGGAGGGGTTGAGAAAAAAGCGTTGGAATCATAACATCTCCCTACAAAGATGCACAGAAGGTGCCACTTTCAAACGAGAACATGCGATCGATAGTCTTAATAGATAAGTGAATTATGATACACTTCAGTTGTTTCCGAGGATGATTTTTTAAGTTCAATCCTGTATGCATCAGCCTTTTTCTCCGCCATCGGGTGGGATACAGTCCCCTCTTTTGATGCAATCTGCTCTTTAATTAGGCTCTTTTTAACTACCCGCATTTTAGAACACGATTGATTTTCGCGGGTGATGACCATATGACGTGTTATTTAGCTTAATAAAATAAGTTAAAAAGGTGTTTGAAGGGGCGTTTTGTCACAATTTTTATTAAGCGTCGCACTTTGCTAAACCTGTCGCACTTTGTAATATCACTTGTCGCACCTTGTAATAAGAAAAGCTGTTGTACATACTTGTTCATGATCACGTATTTGAAAAAAAAATTAGGACGTTTGAAAATATACCTCCTCAAAACACAGAAGTCGTTGTCAGCCGGGAGATGGATATTATTTTTACCGAGCTGATGCTCTCGGAAAGAACGAAATAAGCAATGAAAAACATGGGGAAATCCTGGATCAAGGGATAGTTTGTTTGAGAAAAATCCAAAGCTCTTTGAGCTGCAACTTTTCTTCTCGAAATCCTTGAAGGATCTTGTCAGGAAAGGCAAGATCATGGGAATTCCAGTAGAAACTGTGGACATATCATCAGATGTGCATCGCTCCTTAAGAGACCAATTTGTATCACTCATCGTCACACAAGAAAAGGGTTCAGTTTTGAGCCGATTATCAACGCTGATTGGTTCTAATTGATCACAACAGAGAAGCTGTGTGGGTGTTTTGTCACTTTTGTATACCACAATAGTATTTAATGCTCAAGCACGCCATTTCAATCTGCTACCTCAAGGTAGATTTGCAGCGCTCTTTTGTATTACTAAGCCACTATTACCAAGGTAGATTTTACCACATATTTCATGGTTTTTCAAACAAAAACTTACGCTTCCCTTGTATCAGCATGACCCAAATTCACTTCTGATAAAAGAGCGGCGAAAAAGCGATAACCTTTCTCTAAAGTCGCTTCTTTGGATGTCAGAACAACCTTTCGCCATACATTTCCTTCTGGTAAGTTGCAATGTTTGCCCCGTTGCGATCCCAGAAAACTGTGCGCAAACACTAGGATCCGAATACTGGCAACGTGTCCCCGGACCTCCCCCCCCCCCATTTAAATCTCGCGCCTCTGGAGCTCGTCAATTCGCGCCTAGGCCCTCAAACGCACCCCTTTGCGTTAAAACTTGTCTACTGGCCTGCAAAAATATTTGGGTCAGAGAAACTTATTTTTCTGAAGGTGGAAGATTCAAAATCGCTTGCGACTGGTAGGTGTCGCGTAGGCCTGTCACCACTTTTCAACTTCTTCTTTTAGCTACACTTTTTTACTAACTTCGATAACATTAATGAAGAAATGGTACCTCATTCAAAACCAACCACCTTAATGGGCAGTATGTAAGGAAAGTATTTAAAAGATAATCTGGTCAGAGCTATTAAAATTCTGGAAAAAAAAATTTAAATCGCTCGCGAATGGCGGGAGTCGCAAAGGCCCGTCAACACAGTTTGGCAGCACTACTTGGTCAGTTGAGTGCCATACGAAAAAGGCAGGACGTTTGAATCGGCCCTTACTTGAGGTCCTTACTCAAACGATGATATAATGTTTATCTAAAGACAACTGTGTTTTTTATGACTATATGTAAAGATACCTACTCGAGTAAGGGGAGCCAAGAAAGCTAAGCCATCGATCGCAAATGAAATACAAATAAGAAGCCTTGAAGTGATGTCTGTAATTTTTACTTCTACCCAATTCAATAGAAATTAATGTGTTGTAGATCTTATGTCAAAAGGAAACACTAACGGGCGTTAGCACAAGTCAGAAATTGCTGTTTTGCCAACTGTAGTGCGACAGCGACATTTTTATTCTAGCGAAAAAGCGACAGTGATATTTGTTCCTAACCAAATAGGTGACAGGACTGTTGGTAAACGAGCGACAAGGAGACATCAAAACCCCCCTTGAAAGGCTTCTGAAATGCTCTGGATATAGTAAGAAAATCTTCTATATATACAGCTGGGGTCAAAACCTTCAAATTTTATTTCACTCATTTCTACAAGCAGATAGCTATTGGGTAATGAATATTGCAAATATACATACAGCTTTATCCGAATAAGGGACCTTCTGCTTTTGAGTTGGGCAAACTAAATCACTGAGAATGGAAACCTGAAATGATCTAGCTCAGTAATCTGCTCTCAATTTGTTCAGTTGAGTTAAAATGCATATGCGAATGGTTGGTGATGATTCATCAAAGGTTTTTAACGTCATTTAAGGAGCGCCATAACGTAACCTTTTACGATCAATTTATTTTTTTCATTTTCTATTTTATGTTAAATTGGGGTGAAATACTTTAGAGCTACTTCAAATACGAGGAAGGCTCTCAATAAAAAGTTTGCAAGTCCCATACCCAGAGGACTTTACTCTTGAAAGAATGTAACTTTTGAAAACTTTGCAGATTGGCGTAAATTTAAGTTCATATTTTTGATTAAAAAAGGCACAAAAGTAGCTGCAATCTAAGTGAACATTGAAAAAAGAAAATAACAATCCAAAAGACGTAGATAGTTCAGCAATGCCATCAATCACATCTTTCCTCCACCGTCTCCCTTGTAATGCAATACATAAATCGCTCTGGGGTTGAACAAATTCCACAATTTTCTTTAAAAGTTCTTCGAACTTTTCGTCGTAGAGGATGCCACCGTTAGCCTGAGGTAAAGAGTATCGGTGAAGAAGATCTTTTTATACCGCTCTTTTACAAATTTTAAAATATTCCAGCTACTATGTTAGAAGGAGAAAGTATAAAAACAATAATTATTCAAAACTGAACAGACAAAGTGAGTAACTGAACATATCCACATCATTCATAATTCCTCAGTAGTAGAATATTATAAGAGTCCAAAAATTCCTTTTGTCAGCAAAGACTTGGGTAAGAGATAGCAAAAACAGGCAAAATGGATGATTTGACGTTTTTTTTTCCTATGAATCACCGATATCTGACAAGCCTGATTATGGTTAACTTCAGTCGATTAAGCCGTCAAAATTTACACTAATACTTAACAACGACATAATTTCATGACACATAGAATGAGAAAAAATGGGAGAGGGGAGGAGAAGGGAACACCTCTGTTTGGGTAGTCAAATAAGGACATTCAATTAAAAAGTTGCCGAGCTTTCTTTCGAAAATATTTCATATCAATTTTTCTCTTTCTTTTAAATACCGTTTTTCTGACCTTAATCTGGCATCGCTACTGTAAGATCTCTCATGGCTCCAGTCAAATCTTCCATACCTAACAAAAACATGCAAATGATAAATTTTGATGGTGTTAATATTGAAAGTTATAATCAGATAAAAGAGGCTAAAAATGATTAACGTGATCATGAACGTCATCGTTATCATCATCGTTATCGTCATCGTTATCGTCATCGTTATCGTAATTGTTATCGTAGTTGCTATCGTCATCGTTATCGACATCACCATTGACGTCATCATCAGCGTCATCGACATCGTCATTGTTATTGTCATCGTCATGGTTATCGTCATTGCCATCTTTGGCGAAATGTGTTTCCAACCAGACTTATTTCACAAAGCAGGGCACAAAAACTTACTGTGCGATATTTAGAAAACTATGTCAATTTGTTGAAATAATTGTTTCAAATTTTTCCCACCTAGTACTTCTTTAAAAATTTCAATGACATCACGACGTTCAATTTTTTCCAGTGCTTGTACAATGTCAGATATGGTGATCATAGGTCGAACAGTAACAACTTTGTCTAAGACTTCTCTTGTAGGGCTTGGTTTCCCTTCACGCGTTTCATATCCAATATAATCTTCGTATGGTATTCCAAGTTTCCATGCCATTGTTTTCCAGTCACCCGTTCCAGGAACTCTCCTATTAAGGTCACAAGATATCTTCCGGAATAGGCTTGATTCTGGTACTATAACCTTTTTCACCAATCGACTACGCCAAGAAGACTCTACAACTGAAATAATAGATGCTTATTAGGCCCTGTCTATGATCTCTGACTGATATATTATCGAGATCGATTGTCTGCCCGGAAAAAACCGTTCTTAGAGACTGAGGGCAGTAATCAAATTTTCATAAAGAGCGTGAAAGATGCCTGTCCATGCATCTCCTAATAATACACGCATTTTGATTTCTTTTCACTATTCGACCTACTGATGGAAGATGGAGAAGAGATGCTAAGATTACGTCACCATTAACATCACTATGCTTCTTAATTTAGTAAATCAAATAGATCAGTTCCATGTTGCTGTGGGTCTGATCAATAATAGATCAGAGAAAAGTGGCACACGATGTGCAGTCGAGTGCGTCAATGATGTGTTTTTCACATTTTGACGTCATCTGTGATCGATTACAGAACAGACGAACAGCAACATGGAGTGTATTTGCTAAGTGTAAGTTTATGGGAAAAGACACCTGGGCCCAGTTGTTCAAAGGCCGATTAGCGCTAACCCAGGGTTAAATTTTAATCTGGGTTTCTTTATTCCTTTACTCAAAAGCCTTTTTGGGATAATTTTCAGTGTTCTATTTAAAGCGTCAAATAGTCATACTCTAGACTAAAAGAATTCGACTGAATTTCCTTTCAAAACGTTTAGATCTGAAATCAGATTTCTCACTAACCCTGGGTTATCTTAACCCAGCTTTGAACAACCTGGCCCTGGTTTTTCCAGTGTATCAGGTCAATTACAAAAATACGGCATAGGGTAAAATATGGACTGGACTATTTTTTGGACCATTTTTTGGACCATTTTTGGACCATTTTATAGGGGGAAGCACACCATTAGAACTGAGGGAGGGGCGGGAGGCAGAGTGTTATTACTCAGGGAGGGGTGAGAGACAGACTATTACTACGCATGGAGGGGTGGAAGGTGGTTGTAATAGTAAACACTACTGGTTAATGGAGCTTTTACTCGATCATACAAACTATTTAAATTTGTTTTTCGAGTGACTTTTTGTATGTCAAAATTTCAGCGTTGGGCCGCGGCGTTTCTTAATTTTTTATCATGGGAAAGCGAAACTGCCGCGTAGACACTGGACTTCTACGTTTTGCCGACGGAAAATATCGGCAGGCAACAGAAGCCACCATAGCTCCACTTCGTAGGTTTCGTAGGTTTTAACGCAAGAAGTAATCGGCAGCGGCCCTAGCAAATTGGAAAACAAACCTAGGGGAGTCGTGAGGGATACCTGGTCGCGATTTCCGGTGTCGGTGATTAACTCCTTTGTTTGCGAAACAGATGAAATCGATATTTGCACTTTCCTATTTTACGAGTACAGCGGTGTGTTTGGTCGCTTCGAGAACATAGATTCCTCTTCGAATTCTTACGCTGATGATTTTATCAAGTAAAGGTATAAACTTTAAAATTGCGATAGCGCTTGTAAATTCTTTATGTTGCTAAGGCTATGGGCCGGAAATTCCGTGATCTCGTTTGATAGGATCAATAACAAAAGGAAGATAGATAAATTTAGTAATTACATACAGTATACACAAAGGAAAACGTGAAGCAACTGATGGTGCACGAGTTGACTCAAAGGCGCACGCATAACTCAACAGTGGAGGACCGTAAACGCAATATTCTCAATAAAAATTAGAGTCCAGTGTTTACGCGGGAATTTCGCTTTCGCATGACAAAAAAAATTAAGAAACGTCGCAACCCAGCACTAAAAGTTTGACATACAAAAAGTCATTCGAAAAACCGATTCAATTAATTCGTACGATCGAGTAAAAGCTCCACTAAACAGTTGTGTTTACTATCACAACCACCTCCCACCCCTCCCTGCATAGTAATAGTCCGTCTCTCACCCCTTCCCGAGTGATAATACTCTGCCTTCCACCCCTCCCTTAATACTGATGGACTGCCTCCCACCCCTCCCTTAATACTGATGGACTGCATCCCTCCCCTCCCTGAGAACTAATAGTGTGCTTCCCCCCTATAAAATGGTCCAAAAAATGGTCCAAAAAAAATGGTCCAAAAAATGGTCCAAAAAATGGTCCAAAAAATGGTTCAAAAAATGGTCCAAAAATGGTTAAAAAATGGTTAAAAAAATAGTCCAGTCCATATTTTACCCCATGCCCAAAAATACTTTAAAAAAACCGAGAAGCTGAAAGGGTAAGAGGAATTACACACCAAGCTTGAAACAGTTTTGCTATGAGGTAGTTTTTAGATACATAAGAAGAAATAAAAATGGAATCGTGTCAGATCCGCGGTCCTAACTCTGACTTCATACTTATCATAAATTACCAATTAGAGCCTTTTGTAAATATTAGCCTGGTTTGGTTCTTGCAATAATGGGTGTCTAATTTCAATATGACAGTCTCTAATCTGTTAAGTAATTTCATCATAGGCACATAACACATACCATTTGGATCTATCAGGCGTTTTGCAGTGCGAACTCTCTTAACTGAATCAGAGATGAGTACGTCGTACAGTTCTCCCAGTGTCAAATGGCGTCCTTTCGACTCCAGATGCTGAAAAATCCGTGCTGTTGGATTTTCCAACAGAGGTGATCCAAACTGCTGTAAATCGCCTCTGTTTTTGGCTACACCAATCATTTCGTGCATGGCAAAGTCTTCCCAGTTTGCCGTGGGTCCTCCAAATCTGTCAAGTCCCAGTGCGATATCACTTAAGAGTACTTTATTTAAGGCAGTTATTACTTTCTTCCCATCGTCTTCTAGTTTAAAAACTTTGAAAAAAATGGTGTTATAAAATTTTAATAGAAAACATTTTTTAACAGCTTTCATTTACGGGGTTGTGACTATCAGAAACTTCAACAATTGATGCATCTGTATTGAAAAAGGCTTAAACCGCATGGTTTAAGCCAATTTAATTGTACATTAGGTATTACACAATTTAAATAAAACTTTTATTTCATCATCAACAAGCGAAAGAACTCTGGTAAAATTACTCCTCCCCTCATTAAATCAATTTACTTGCTTCGTACTCAGATTTTTAAGCCACAAGGCCTGGTGGTCAATACAGATCACGAGAAATTAGAATGCTTATGAGCATCTACATTAAAGTAAATCGCTTGAGAAAAGTGTTTGTCAGTATTACGGATATCCATCGGAGACATAGTGTAAATGCCTGAAATCGTGAGAGAAGTCCGTAGAGTTTGATGTATTACTAATGTCTTTGCGGATAAAAGAAGGAGCAAAGTTTTGACACGATACCTCGATCCAGCAGTTGTTTCAAATCATTCCTTCCGATATTTGTGAAAACCTCCTTCAACATCCCAATTGTAAGATCTGGTTTAGTAAACTCCAAGTTATCAAAAACGTTCGTGGTCGGACTAAAGGTACCGTACCATTTCAGACTTTCTATAACGTCTGGTCCAACGTTTAATTCTTTTGCAAAATGCCTCCAATTTTTCACCACCCTTGATATTTCCATGTCTAACTTTATGGCTATCTTTTCCACTGCTTCCGGCTTACTTTTCTCGAAAGCAGAGAACAAAGATCCTAAAAGGAAGGAAAAATGCACATTATCATAACATTATTGCGCCTCTGTTCACGGGTCACTCTCATAGACTTGCTTTGTAAGAAAACCCGAGAATTTCTGATAAATTTAAAAAATTTTAAAAATATACATATTTCATCATCTATGGATCGCTTGCTATCAAGTTATACAAGTTCAGTTGAAGGTATTTAAAACTGTGTTATACCAATTAGGAGTTTTAAGCATTTTGTATGAGTTTAACAGTAGAATAAATGCTGGGCCATAAGTCGCTTCCACCTTAAAATCTATAAAACCCATCAATCTTCAACAAATTTCAGTGACAATGACTAACATCTGAGTAATATCACCCCTGAATCATATTCAAAGAGAACAACCATCCCTGAATCAACAGTTACACCATGTAAATCTAAAGCTATCCTTTTAATTCTCACACTTTCATGCTTTACCTCTTTTCTTGTTGTCACTATTTATCATAATCGGCACTGTTGTACTTACTATATAATTCAACTTCCAAAGCTTTGTACATTAATTAACGAAAGATGACAGAAGTTTTTGTCGAAACATGTATTACAGATTTAAAATTTTTCTCGCTTTCTTTAAATAAGTAATAGTTATAGTGAGTTTTAGTTGTCTATCAAACATCTTTAGGAAAAATAATTCCCGCCTGGGGCATAACGTGAATCTACACAATCCCCACCCCCCTAACACATCCGAAGGTAAACAGATTCCTTTAACCATTTGACTCATCCCTAACCCCGAAGAGTGACTAGCATTTAATTTCTCCTTACAATAACACCCTGAATCATGCAGTAACATCATGAGAATAAAAGTAATTATCAGTAGCAAAAGAAGCTGTTGATTGTCACACACATTTTCCTTGTATGCACCTTAAGGAATGTATGGGGAACAGTATGGAGAATACCTTTACTGATGTTAGAGCGCAAAGGGGTTAATAGCGGAGCTCGCAGCGCGCGCAGTGTAGCCCGATAAATATGCAAAATAGTAGTAACCCATCAAGCCCAAAAAATTTGGACTTACTACCGTACGACCGACTGTACAAGGTGCTACTTTTAGCATGCGCAGCCAAGAGCATTGCAGGCACGTTCTTAACCATTACGTTATGGAAGGGCAAAGGAGAGGATAATGCCCAGGCGCGATCGCATGCGTAACTAGGATACCCCTTGGATACCCTATTAGTGCCACTGGAGGAGACACTGGCAGATCACAATGAAGTGCGCATTGATGCAGCGTGTCGCGGGCACACGGCTAGGCTTTACACGAGGGCTTCACATAAGCTAGTAGATGTGAAGCCGAGTAAGCAAATAATTTGCAACACGCGTTCCGAGCGGGGTTTCAAACTGGTGGGGTTGTAGTTGAACAGTAATTCTCAATATTTTGCAATTTATAATCAACTTGCAAAGCAACAATACTAGCAGAACTAAAGCTTTGTCAACCGGAGGAAATTGTTATAATTCAAGTTCGTGGAGAAGGGGTTTTGAGTGAAAATAGGCCGGAAAAAAAGAGACAGAGCAACCAAAGAAAGCAAGAAGTAAAAGGCGTAAAACGAGTTGAGGAAAATGTACAAGAAAGTTAAAAAGGACGCTAAAATAGGCAGAATACGGCGAGAGGAACGCGAAAGAGAATAAGAAAAGGTATACTCAAAAAGGCAAATATCTAGCGAGGAACAACGTGAGGAGGAAACAAAAAGAGCTCCAGAAAACAGACTGAAAAGGGGTCATCAACAGAGAGAAGCGAACTACAAAGGATCTGAAAAAGAAGAGGAGGTAGGTCGTGTCTTATCTGGGTTTTCTCTTACGCTAAGGCCCAGAAAAATTTAAACCTTTTTTCCCAATCTTCGTTTGATACTAGCTATAGATGATAATCCAAATCACGTTTCGGTAAAACAATGACTTTTGCATTCATCGCTTTAAAACCCTCGCGCCCGTTCATCGCTCGAATAACATTTCAAAGTGTTCGTATTCTTCAAATTACTTCTTGTCCTTCCTTCTGGAATGTTTAATACAGTCATAGCGTTTAGGGAAAAGAAGTTATCTTACGGATTGTGTATTGCCTAGAAAGTTTTAAAATAATAGCTGACGGCGAGAGCAGTTTTTATCATTCTCTCCTCAGTTAGCTATCGCAAGGTTTACATTATTCATTTTAAAAAAATCGTGCTTTGTCGAAGGTTTGTTGTTTTACGCTAAGAACGAAGTAATAGCCTTTCCCAAAAATGGATTATAATGAGATCAAGTCAGCTATATTCATGTTTACTTTAAGCCTGACGCAGTAATTTGATTTTGTAAAAAATCTGAGAATTAACTTACCGAGCGCAAATGTGAGGACCAAACAAACTCACGGGTAAAATGGTGTTGATCTCGCAGCGGGAAGAGCGAATTTCATTGTTTGGTCATGGTACTTTTCAACGCTCTCTACTCGATTCGTTCGAATTTCAGGAAATGGTTTGTCTCTCAAAACATGGAGCCACTTTCTTTTAGCGCAACTCATCTCGAGGCGTACTTAATGCTCGGGTTATGATGAACATGCCTGCGGTACGATAATTTTTTCCTTATGCTGGAAACTGAAGAATAAATCTCTGAAATTAATAGGTATCACATTTTGGAAGCAGCGTCCGAGCTGTGACCGTGTAATTAAACAGAGCCCTGGCAATTTCAGCTCACAAACACGCTGGTAAGCACATCGTTAGCGTAAATAAATCTTGACAGTTTTCGAATTCGAGAGCAGCTTTTTAGAGTTCGTATCTGTAACCTTACTGGATATTTTCTGTTGAATTCACTGAGGCACAATCTCGGAATTTCGTAAGTGATTGTAAACGATAAATTCGAATCGGCACCATAATTTTGGGGAGTTAACACACTATTTGTTTACAATTCGTGAACCATTTCTGTTACCTGCTTGGATATTTTCTTGTGAATTAATTGAGTCACACTCTCGGAATTTCATCAGGAATTAAGAACGATAAATCCGTATATGTAGCACAAGTAAAACACATTTTAAATTTTCCATACGATTTTAGGAAACTGTATTTAATTGACTCTCGATAGATTAGCTTGGCATAACTCGTTTATTATTTTATTATTTTGTAGCCCCAAAGCCCGGCTCATGACTCTGGAGGTACTGAACTTGATATATTTGATACATAGGGCACCTTTCAAGGAGGAAGGTTTGAATAAAATTGCTTTTACGACCGTATATTGCACCCGGTTTACATATGTAGATAACTGCTTAAATTTACCTACTGTAACTGTATTGAGGAGCATAGACAATTAGGTAATATGCTCCTGCTTTTTTTTATTGTAAGATGTTTCTATTTATGTAACATATATCCATTCCTTTAATTTCCTCCTTAGCCTGTCTGCAAATATTTAAATTTTGTTTTAATTCACGCGTGAGGGGATAAAACAGACGTGTTGCAGAGTTCTCTTTCCAGTTTGAATTCATGTGAGAACATTAGTATTGTCATATGCTTCTCCTGAATCTTGAATTTTATTGCCCTGGTTTTTCTCACAAAGCCTCTTTTATCTACCAGCTAATTATTAAAATCTCAGTAAATAGATATGCTATATTTTAGTAGTTTTTGGCATCTACAATTTTAAAATTCATAAATGGCATTTCCTTTCCATCCTTGTAAAGAGATATTACACATTTCTTTCACTAAAATCTGAATCATGAAGTAAACTTAATTTCAATGAGTTTGAAACTTCATTCGACATAAGAAAACTTTTCTGGAGTATGTTACATTTATTCGCAGTCTTTCTGGTGCATATGATTACCGCATGTGTCTTAACCCCTAAACTCCCACGATTTCATTAGTAATTCTCCTTATTGTCTGCCATACAATCTATGTGATCTTAGCTTGGAGAATTTGGAATTGGATCAATCAATAATCCTCTAATAGATATTTTTCTTTATTCTCATTACTTGTCTGCTTGGTATCATATCGATAGCGTGAGGACAAATTCTATCTAGGTCTCTAGAAGGACTTTTTAGGAGTAAAATTGGGGACTTCATTATATTGCAATTATTAAAATATTCATATGCTTTCAAATGTAACAAAAAACTGTGATGCGAATGTGATGTTATGAAACACTTACAATGGGAAAACCTGTTGCTGGTAGCTTATCCCTTGCAAACTGAATTCCCAGTTTTCTAGGAATTCCTCGGAATTCTCAAAAATTCCCAATTATGCAAATAACCCTTGCCAACTGAATTCCCAGTTTTCTAGGAATTCCTAGGAATTCCTGAGAATTCTCAGGTATACAAACTACCTATAATTTTAGAGGGGTGGAATTCTTGGGAATTTCTGGGAATTGAATCTGAGGCAATTGAAATACCCTGAGGTCCAAATTAATTCCGAGAAATTCTCAATACCTTGAAAGCGAAGGTTTTATGAAAAGGAGTAATTTTAGAGGCTTAAAACTTTGGCTCAATAAAAGGTATGCTATACAAAATTTACCAAGAGATATACATACATGTATATGTTAAAAACTTAAAGATCATGAAACTGATTATTCAAACTAAGTTTCTAGTAAATCTCTACATTAATAAGGATTTTCTCATGAAGCAGCAGTCAATTATGTTATATGCAAATTGCCATCTAATCCAATGTACTCATATCACAGATTTGCTTTCTAACCTCAAAGGACTCTTGGATTCCATGATCATAAAAGTTTTTGGTTGTGATGCAAAATATCTCGTTTTCACAGATGTGCCAAAATCATCAAACATTCATCAGCTGTTCCTTGGTACACAACTTCCACATGTGTAACAATTACATGGTTATCTACAGTTAAAGAACTTTGTAAGTTATGAAGATAGGTTACTTTCCTAATCTACATACTGGTTGCCTTTGTAAGAAAACCTCGGAACAGTCAAGCTCAGTTGCCTCAAACAGTGTCTGAGACTTTCTGTTCACATTATTTTTAGTAGAAATTTCATGCCTTTGACAAACAAATTCAGCATCTAATTAATCTTCCTTTTTTCATGATTGTTGTTGCTGTTTTTTTTTTCAGTTTTTTGCTCTTCTTTCGTGACTGATTGCAGTAATTTGTTTTACTGTTTTTATTTTTACAAAACATTTTTGTAAGAGTTTCAATACTTGTGGATCATCCGCACACTTTGCAAACATTTGGCATGTAGACAAGACAGAGGTAGTCACTGTTCCCTTTGAGAAAAAAACATCTTTTAAATTGCTTCTTCAATTTAGTCTATTTGAAACTCTGATCTGAAAATATTTTTAAAACAAGACTTGTTAGTAATGAAAAGTACAAACTGAGTTTCCTTTGATAATTTAATTTCTTAAATGTCCCAATCACTGAATCTCCCAAAAAATATTACTTCTTTTTATTTTTTGTGCAAAATCCTTCTTTATATAGAAATGAAAAGTTCAGGTCACACTTCAATAACAACAGCTCTAAAGTTTACTTGTTGTTCTTCTCTGTCTGTCAGCTATCAACAAAATTGTTTTATACTTCGGACAGTGCATAACCATTTGTGGACCAGAGTTCCAACGCACCTCTGTAATCGCATATAGTTGCTTCTGTCTCTTGAAAAAATGTTTCTCCTTTATGAGACGCGCTCTACTCTGTTGGCACCACTGCTTTAAGTTCAGTGGAAACGACAGACTGAGGAATCGAGATGGCGGTGTTGGAAGGTGTCGCTGAACGCTTGTTACGGTCAAGCTTTGTTAATTTAGGTACTGATACACTGTGATCATCTATGTATCTCTTATACTTCCAAATGTGGTATCCTTCTTTTATAAAAATGAGGGTAAAATTTGTATACATATTCCCCATACCGTTCTCTATACAATTCTTGATGTGCTGGCAGGGAGAATTTGTTAAACAGTCAAGAGGTTCTTCAGTTGTTTATCATTTCCTTTATTCTCATAACTTAATGTTTGATTTAAGGTGATATTGAAAGGAGAAATTAGATGTTAGTTAGTTAATAATTGTACACATTTTATATGCTGCTCCTTGCATTTGTTGGCAACAATACAGTGTAGGTAAGATTGTTAGGAAAGCAAATAAACAAATGAACAGAAGACAGTGAAAGGAGGGAAACTTTAAACTTCACCATGTGATAAAAAAAACATCACAGAATACTTGAGAAGGGAAACTTAGGTTGTGTTAGCAAATTTCCTCTATTTCCCTTCATGTTTTTGATCAAAGAAAATTTGTAGGGTTTGACTGCAATGTGTTAAATTACCCGTGTGGACTTGATTCTTCTCCTATATCAGCTGGTAAAGGATAGATACTAAAATTAGATGTCCATAAGAAAAAGTAGATATCATCAAAAAAATCACACTTAATCCTTTACACCCTCACATCGTTATGCATATTCTCCATACTGTTCTCCATACATTTCCTAAGGTGCTAACAAGGACAATTTTTTTAACAGTCCAGAACTTCTTTATTTGGTGACCATTTCCTTTATTCTCATGATCTTAATGTTTGATTCAGAGGTGATATTGTAGGGAGAAATTAGATGCTAGTCATTTTTAGGGGTTAAAAGGTTAAGTGGTGGCAAGATTGATTTTCACTATTTAGAATGACAGAAGCAGTAAAAACACACCAAGCTTTTTCCTATTCACCAGTAAATTAATTAGATTTTGGATTCTACATTCAAACTGGGTGAGATTAAATTTATTCATATCATGCTTCATTATCGTTTGTTTACATGGAAAGGTAGTTGTTATGATAGTTTTACAGTTTTTTTAGTTGTTGTCCCAATGATTATTCATAACAAAGTTTCATCTAACATAGAATGTCTCAAGAACTTTCTTTCTTTCTCTTCAATACCATTTACTATTTCTGGAGCACAATTAAAGGAAGCAGGTTATTAAAAAAAAAATCAAGTTTTGATTCAGGTAATTATTTAAATACATGAGTAACATTTGATGTTTTCACATGTAACAGGATGATCAAGCTGAAGATACCCTCAAAAAGGAGTGAACTCCACTGTAACAATTAGGTGACTAATCTGGAAACTTGAGCACTCGGTAAATACACCTTGGCTTGCAATTCTGATGATTACATTTGGCTGAGGTAATTGAAATGTCAGTCCCCGAGCAGGAACTTTCTATATGACCTGTTCAGCCATATGCTATGAGACAACTTTAGAAAAATGTATTTGTGTTGGTAGAACTATAGTAAGTACAGTACCACCTAGTGACATGAATGAATGATTTCCTGTAAGCATGAACATGTGGGAGAAGCTATGGTTGTAGATCACCCTTTCTTTGCTAGGATGCATAGGGTCTGCTAATTGTAATTTGTATTTTTAATCCTTCAAACTTTTAACTTTGCATTAATTGTAACTGTTTGCCATATCTATTTCTCTGTACCTTAAGCCCTCAAAGTTGAAGCAGGTGAGTCAATAACCTGTCAGTTCCTTTGTTTGGAATTGTGCAATTATATAATTTTTGCTGTGTAAGTTACCACAACGTAACATGTAATATTATTATTTAGATTGCATTAAATACTCTAGCTCAAGCTTTCATTAATGCATGGTGTTTCTTATCAATGCTCATACCCAAACTAAACATTGACATACAAAATTGGTCACAAGACATGCAAATTTTTATAGGTTGGAATCCAGAAAGGCAAGGATCCTCCTTTAATTAGGATTGAAATTAATGGAGGCCCTCCTTTTCTAACTCATGTTTTCACTTTTACCTGCCTCCTCCCACATAATGTTTAGGGCACATAGATGAAGAGACACACAAAAGTTAAATTAATTGGTGTCCACATAATGCACAAAGCAAGAATATAAATGCCTTAGCTTAGTAGTTTAAAAAATAAAAATAAGAGAGTTGTGCAGACCATATCTTACTTCTTAGCTTCCACTGAATATTTATTCAAATAATACAGTCAATATCAGTCTCATTCAATCTCATTTTCCGCTGAGCTTGTGGAAAGATGATAACCTCAGTATTTCTTTAAATGAAGAGAGGAGAGCATGCCCTCTTACCACACATAGTTTTTTTGTACATCATCAGTACAAACCTGACCCAGATGTTTGAAGGTTGAATAATGCCATCTATTGGATAAAACTCTATCCCATAGATAATGCTATACATTTTGTTATCACTTATCTGCTGGATAGCAATGTATCTGTTGGACAGTGTTATCCGCTCTTTATACAACTGAGCCCTGGTCTAATTTGTACACGAATGTGATTGTTCGAGGCAGGCTAACCCTACAAATTAGTTGTGAAAATTTTCTTGAACTGTTGTTGTTTGAATGTGTGACTCAATTTTACCTCACTAACCTAAACTGAATAAATAGAAACTTGAAATTTATTTCATATCCTTTTGAGGTGTGCATCAAAATTTTGGAGTCATGGCAGGCTTGATCTACAGATTTACAGGAAATCTACATGTGTGCGTGTTTTCAACATGTAAAACCGCGATTATGACCTCTTCGAATGACTTTACTGCCTGCTGTACAGGTACAGGTACAGGCAGGCGTTGTAAAAAAGTTTGCTTTTCATTAGCACACATTTCTTTTTCAAGGAATCTTGATTATCTAGCCTATGGTGAATTCTAATTTATCACGCAAATTTTATTTTCTTTTGAATATTCTTAGATTTCCCAGCATCGGTTAATATTCAGGTAATTAAAATAATTACATGAACTCTTACAGATGTATGGCACATTATTTTTATCCTCTGATCCTACTGACATTTTATTATGTGTAGGGATTGGTAGTTTGGCCTTAAAAGTATAGTCATGTTAGAGTTTTGTGCACAGCCTATGCATCAAATTTTTGTACATTCATTGCAGATTGTAGTAGGATGTGTAGACTACCCCCAAACACATCCGAACGTAAATAAATTACTTTAACCAATTAACTCATTCCTAACCTCTAAGAGTGGGTAGCATCTAATTTATCTTTACAATATCACCCCTGAACCATGAAGTAAGATCATGAGAATAAAAACAATTATCAGTAGCAAAAGAAACTAGTTTCTTTTGCTGCTGATTACGATTTTACTGAACGACATAATTTTAGTCTAATATTCTCGGTTTATCACCGCTATGGCTTCGGTTTATGCTATAACTTCGATAGAGGAAAACACCTGTCACGCTCCAATACATTTCGAAATCTTCTATACTTTATTGAATAACTAATAACGCTGTAATCAGCCATTGTTAGGTTGGGTAACTTATCAGTGAACAAACCACGAAATGCATCTTTATCAAGGTACCCCGGTTTTTCATTTCAGAGAAAAAATATAGCTTGGAATCAAGCTTGAAAATAATATTTCCGGTCATGTTTGTCAATTCTCAGAAATCAATTGATTACACACTACTGCTAAATTCTCAGAATAATCATTACGATGCAAAATTTGCATCACAGACGTTTTAAAACTGTGATTAGCAGCAAATCTGGTTAAGAAATAAAGGTCCTCGGCTACAATTTCGTGATAAAATTTTCATCGTAGTAAGGTAGAAACTGACTTCTGTCGATTGCCTCAATTCTGGGAATTCGATTCAGCACAATTCTGCACCTAAGTAACTGCCTCGCGTAAACGTGTGACAACAGTTGATCTTCTTGGTGACATTTCGCATTAGATTTAAGAACTACTTTGCGTGCTATTACACTTAACTGCAATAAACTCTCCCCAACAATGTTACCTATGAAGAAAAGAAACAAGAGGAAGATCCCAGCAGCGTTTTTCTATTTTAGTTTTTTTAGATAACTCGCTCCAAGTGCAACGAGTTCATCTCACTCTCCGAAGGGTTCTTTTGAGACTTAGGACCGATTACCTGCACGGACAAGTTTATTACGTATTTCGAAACACAAGAAAGACGCGAGAATTTGAATATTCTCGGTAAATTCATAAAACATTCAATTCATCTTACCGATTGAGAGGGGATTATTATCTTGATCAGCCATCGGGTGTGCTGGGTGGACGAGAAATCTAAGGTTTTGTATCAGTCTTGATCACAAATCTGCTCATAAAATTCGACTAGTCAGCACTTCTGTGCTCAAACGCGTCACAACCGTCCTAGTATTACGTCATAGTGCGAACGATCATAGCCTCATACCCAGGTTCTTTCTCTCACTTCCTTGTAGGGTAGTGTCGTGAAGATTGGTATTCACACGCAAAACAGAAAAACTGCATCCTACATATTTGTGAGTACCCTGATCCAGACAGGAAAGACTTTTCCAGAATACAATGACTGTCTTATGACAGGAATAAAAGTGATGGCAAAGCAGGGCGAGACGGCAAAGATCACCAGAAACCAGAATAAGATAAATTAATCTTATGTGTAATATGTTCATATTTCGGAATATTTAGCATTGTAAACCGACCAAGGTCTTTCTCTTTCTTTTGTTTATTTATACATTAGATATAAACTTTCAAATCGAGGATGTCCTTTCAATACAAATCTGCGTTTGGGAACATACAGGGAAAAATCTAAGGAGTACATAACAAACAAGTCAAGCAACAGCCACAACATATTAAGGGAGGGTGGGGTTAAGATATCGAGGAGAGATATATTTGCAAGAACTATCAAAAAAATCGTTTAATTATTAAACGGATGCCCTTCTATTACTCTTATCTACAATTGTATTCTCAACTGAAGCAAACTATTATCTTTCGTACAGAAAAAAAGTTAGCTATCGAAGTATCATGATTATTTCTAAATTGATGTAGCACATTAAATTTGATACTTAAGTGATTAAGCCATTCGTGATAAACAGTAAGAAAAACTTCATAAGAGATCTAATTCTTTAGTTCTCGTTTCCAAACTGCTCAAAATTGTCATTGTAGCTGAGGCAGCTTCCATACTACTGCGTTTTCGCTTGAAAACGCAAACTATTTGTTGCGTTTTCGCATGTTATCCATATCAAAACGCCAGAAGACCTTGATGAAAACAGAGACTCCCGAAAACGGTTACTAAAGTGGAGTCTTTTGAATATGCATCGTTTTTAAAACGCTCCGTTTTAGTGTGGGCGAGTGAAAACGAAGGCTTTTTTAATTCTCTATAAAACCGGAAAACTGTTGTCACTGATTGCAACGAGGCCTTCTATGAGGTATTGGCGACAAGCGACATTGCTAAAAAAATGTGGCGACAATCTTGTTCCGATGAACCGACAGCCGACAAAAACTGGTAGAAGAGGAGCGATATTTTTCGATAGCGACAATCCACTTTTAATTTCCACGTAGCGACATTTTTTCGCTGTGATTTTTCCGACAGAGACATCGTGACCAGGACAGCGTGACTCTTTTGTGATTTTCCGGCCTCAGTATTTTGCCAATAAACAACTCACAAGTTTAACGTGTTTCATATTCAACCTTTGTCATGCACAGTCAGTCTCTTGTTACCTATTTTTATGTAATGGTCTGTTACGGTGCGTCACACAAATGTTTGTGCACCAAATGCGAATAATCGTTAGGACGGGTGTCTCTTGTATTGCCTTTGTCATTGGCGTGAAATGGTGAAAGATTAGAAGAAATCCCACCACATTCTGAAGAAGAGTAAAATAGGGCAAAACGAGTCACAATGGGAAAGACAAGAGAGGTAATCTAGGCAATGTTTGCAAATAATTCCCAAGGCGCTTTAAATGATGGCTTATGTTATGTTAAGATTTAGCACCGCAAATGACAAATGACGGCTTCTTTTTCGAATATTCGCATCATTTTTCAGTGCGTAAATACTTAAGTGAGGCGGTACTTATATTCATGACACTAAATCAAAGAATCCTAGTCTATTAGTTCAGTAGCAAGATGGGCCAAAATTCGCTCCCGGCATGACAGCAAGCGTAGAAAAAAAATCCAGATCTTATGGTATGATGCAACTGCTGTGTGCTGAGCCTTGAAGTGGTCTCTGTAATTTTTACTGCTACACCGAAACTAATAGAAATTCATGTGCAGTGGATCTTATGACAAAAGGAAAACACTAACGGGCGTTGGCACAAGTCAGAATTACTATATTACCAAATTTAGTGCGACAGCGACATTTTTATTCTTGCGAAAACGCGACAGCGTCACTAAAGTCGCCGCACTAAAGAAGTGTCACGAAATCTGGTGTTGCTGTTAATTACGATTCGACTAAACGACATTATTTCAGTCAAATTTCAACAAACAATGTAATGCTTCTCTATCATGATAACTCGCGATCGGTTTTTCATTTCAGAGAAAAAAAACTATGACTTTGAATTAAGTTTGAGAATAATATTATATGTCATGTTTTCTAATTCTCAGAAATCACTACCGCGAAATTCTCAGAACTTCGGAGTAATCATTACGAAGCAAAATTTACACTATCTACGTTTTAAAATTGTTGTTGATTGCAAATCTGATGAAGAAATTAAGATCCTTGGCCGACGAGGAAAAGAAACTGGAGAAGATCTCGGTTATTTATAAAAGCATTGATCGACAATGCGGAAGTTGGTTAGTAAACTGTGCCGCTTTGCTATTCTGGCTTTGAGAAAACTCGCTCCAAGAGTAACGAGTTTATCTCATTTTCCGAAGGAATCTTTGGAGACTTAGGATCGATTACCTGCCCGGACAAGTTTATTACGTACTTCGTAACACAAGAAAGATGCGGGAATTTACGGCACTAGTAAGTGAAAGTTTGCCCACCTTTCAACAGCTTCCGCTTAGAATATTCTCTTCGGTAAATTCAATACAACATTTAATTCAGCTTACCGATTGAGATGGTATTATCACATTGGCTAGCCATAGGGTTTGCTGGGTAGACGCGAAATCTAAGGTTTGTATCAGTCTTGATCACAAATCTGCTCACAACAGTGATAACTCTGGTACTAATTTGGTCGCCAATTCGAACAGCGTGAGTTCAAAGGCATCACTATGATTACAGCCTAATACCCAGGTTCTTTCTCGATAGCTACAACTGGTGACATTTTGCTCCCACGATATATTTTGAGAGGCAGTCCAGCGGAAACTCGCAGGCACATGCTTAAATGTATCCAGAATGGCGAGGCGTGTTGTCAAGCGTTCACAGGACGTAATCGATTATGCTTAATTACATAGATTTTCTTCAGCCGATATTGAATTTTGCGTTTTTTAAAACTACATGTATAGACATTTCTTTGTTTTTCTATTTTCCACATGCAGCATTCAGCATACCTACTTGTTATGTTCGGAACGAAACGTTATCACAAATACGTTTTTACTTCCCAACAAATTATATAAAAGTTATAAATTAGTTCACCGCTTCTTCCCTACCCCTCTTGGGTCCATTTTTGCACTGTTTACAGGCCTGGTTGCTTTGTTCAAAATGGCTGACAGATTTCCTTCTTTTGGGAGTTATTTTGCTTGGATTTGCGCGAGATTTTCGCCGTCTTTAAAGCTTAATATTTGGCTTCCCTGCTCATACTTAAAAAAAGGAAAAGTAAGCAGTTTAAGAGAAAAATTTCCCGCTCCAAACTATGAGAATTTGATTCAAAACAGGCTATTGCGAGAGGACAACCTTCGAAGGAGAGAATGCGAAGATCACTTTTTGGACTCGTTTGTTACTCAGGCAGAGATCGAAGGATTTGTAGTGGCACTTGATGGTAATTTACAGAGAACATATGGGAGATTATAGTAGTTATCAGGAGTTGTATTTCCCCGCATGAAACCTCGAAAGGTCTCTTAAATTTTGGTAATAGTAAGTGTATTGAGGTTCGATTATCATTGCTAGAACCACGTTTTTCACAACGTTATCATGAACGCCGCTGCCCAGCTTAAAAGTTATGATCACACACAAGCCTTACTAAGCGGCTGCCATTTTTAATCCGCCATCTTGTTTTGGGTTGTTGCTAACGCTTACTTCCTTATAAGGTAGTGTCGCGGAAGATCTTTATTCACATGCAAAACAGAAAAACTGCTGCATCCCACATATCTGTGAGATGATGATTCAGGAATATAGAGACTGTTGTTCCTGTCACAGACTCCACAACGGACACACAGGGAGTGACGAAGTTTTATTAATCCTACGTGTAAAATGTTCATATTTTTGGAATATTTAGCTTTTTAAATCGACCAAGGTTTTTCCCCATTCTATTCCTTATCACGGGTTCAAATTTGCAACGGTTCCTTGCGTAACCTAACACGGACCCTTTCATGAATAAAGACATACGTGTGCGAGGATCAATCATTCGCTTTTCTCGAGACGTAAGCTAAGACTTAGACGTAGATCCCTTCTGCAAGACAAAATTTCCAAACTGAAACACTTTGCATTACGGTCTGAGACTAGCGAAGAATCCAATGAATAATTTCTAAAGTGGATCCCAGATTGATTAAAAAAAAAACATCAGCAGTTTCGCATGAAAAGCTTTCTCACATGCATTGCATATTTAGCTTACGAGTGCGTTTTTATTAAAATTTAGGATAACTTATTGATCGAAAACTAAGAAAACTAGTTCCCTCTTCATCAGCTTCTTATACACTGGTGTTTATCGTCTCAAGTTTTTTGATCTACGGGGTAACACCAAATTCCAAGTGTTCATGTTGTCGCTTAAATGATTCATAAAGCACATGCACTAATTGAAAATTCGACGCAGTTTCCTAATTTTTGCGTCAGCAAGTCTTGCTCGTTGACAAGTTGTCATCTCTTGTTTTAGCGTGGTTATTTTGTTTCATAGGAGGAACCTACGTACAAGTCTTAGAATCAGCAGGCTAATGACAACATTTTATTTACATAGTTAATAAGGAAATGTGCGTGGAGTTTGCAAAGCAAATAAGGAGTAAAAAGGCGAAGGAAGTTGGAGTTAAATTTGACTGGCGTAAATGTTGAATGAATGCACATTCAACTTCCCCAGGCTGTTCGCATCTTAATTTCTATGCAAACTCACGCAAATTTATGCATAAACTTGGCTAATACAATATCGCCCATTGTACGAAGAAACAAAATAACCACGTTAAGAAACACATTTAGCTGCGGCCATAAGAGTCGCGGAGAATCCAGTTAACAATTCCATTATAATTCCAGTTCGATCATACGACTTTTAGCTCAACTGGTGCCAAAAAAGGTTCAGCACCTTTGATAGTAATTTATGTTAAGTCTTCCTACACCACCGGGGAAATTTAAGGTCATTCGCCGTTTTTAAACAGTTTTGCATGATTCAGTTATTGTTCAACGTATCTTCAGAAATCGACACTTTTCCAAAGAGATAGAGGATTGTGTTAGAATTTGAAGGATCAATTTTTTTTCTTTGCGTCATAGTATTATTTCCTTGTATGGAATGTGGTTATTGAGATTTTGTACTATTTCGTACTGTGCGGAGGGCACACACGAAATCTTAGAGAACCTACTCCGTTCTCAGAAACTCGCCACTCCTCTGCTTTTCATATTTAGAAACAATTGGAAACCAACTTGCCCTTGCTATGAATTTGTATAATTACGATGAAAAAAAGCTATCTTCTTTCAAGAGAGTAAACAGACGGGAAAGGGGTTAGGCAGATACTAAGCGGAAGGGCTTGTATACTATAAGAGGATGTATTGATTTAATCACAATTAAAAGTTCACAACAGTTGACTGGGATACCGCGATTTTCCGGAATGTATCAGAAACAAAACAAACAAACAAACAAAGGGAAACTAACTGATTCGTAACTATCAGGCTTGATTTGTACAAGAATGAATAAAGCTGCTGAAGCCTTGTTTTTTCCTTGCTTTAATCGCAATTCTTGTCGGAGGAAGCTGGTCAGAACGGTACCTTAAAGGCAAAGTCTAGCCGCGATTAATCCTCGTTTTCAAAGCTGGCCCGTCGTGCAGATACATTTTTAGTAAGTGGTTTTTCCGTGTTTTAGTGGAATGAATAACATACAATTATAACAAAACAAACGCAAAGCCACAATAAAACTTTGTAAGTCCGAATTTACCTACAATTTGGATGACAACGTGAAAAGTGCAGCGAAAACTTTGTGCGCGTAAATAGTTTCTCAAGGAATATATTTTCACAAAACTGCAGCGAAGAAATATTTTTTTTCTTTCATATCCTATTTTCAGTTTTTTTTTTTCTGATATTTTTTTCGCTAATTAAATCATGCAAAAATGTAGAATATTCTTCCCATGTGATTCTCTAAGGAAAAAGTGCATTATCAAACTTAGTTCGAACTTTGAATACAAGTCTTCTTATTTGTTGGGTCAAAACTGGACACAATTTTTAAACACAGGAAGTACATTGACCGCCAGCCTCGTCTTTTATAGTGTGTCATAACTGAACAGGTCAAGAGAGATAAATCGCAATTAAAATCTTCTTTTTACAATTCAGTCTCACGTGTACCAAGGGATTTTTACAGAAAGGAAAGTTTGAAAAGGCTAGGTACAGCTTTATTCGTCAAGGTACGAAATAGCCTTAGACTAAACTTAGATGTATTTGTATTTGTCCTGAATTAAAAAAAAATACGGAGTTACATCTGGAAAAAGCCAAAAAACACAAAAAAAAGGATAATTAAGCTTTCTTAAAACTGAAGCGAACTATGGATTTATCAAAAAAATTATAATTGTAGTCTTGAAAATATTCTTCACACGAAACACCACGGCTAATTTTATTCTGCGCAAATTAAAATTCTTGCAAAACCTCTTCCAATCTCCTTGGCATCTATTAAGAACTTTGCCACGAAACACAATGCAAAAGGGACGTTTAATTATGACACCCTAGGATGGCGCTCGGAAGAAAGTTTGAGAGGAAGTCTAAGAGTGCCGTTTAAAGCGAAGGAGACTCGTGGAGAGATTCGGGTAATTTATTTTACAGTATAAAAAGCCAAAAAGCTGATCCGAGGTAATTTATAGTTCGCATGATACATAATTTCGTGATATTGTGCGCATGCATCGAACACAATTTCTAGGCATCATTTGTTATTAAACTATCGATGATAGCTGGTACACAGCTGTAGAAAAATTGCTTGTTACATGTAACTGTACGGACGAATAGTACTTATGTTTCCTTTATTTTAGTTTGCATATTTAGCATTTGGTTTAGCAATTATCGCAGAATTTAAGTTGTGCATCTCTATCTGTTTAATTAACATTATTATTCAAATTTTCGGCGTAAGTTGTTGTATACTAATGACTTCTTCTTCAATTTAAACCTTATAGCGGTGAGACACAAAGCTGTAATTGAATTTAGTGGAACCCAAGAATCTTAATAACAAAAGCAAGAACGTTGACTTTGACGGGTCTGGTAGAAATTCAACGCCATTAACAGAACATTGCTGCAGCCATTTCAAGTTGCTTCTATTTTAACAAATTCATTTTGCACAAACACCTGTACAAAGGTGAGAACAGATAAATGTTAAAAATAAAATAATTAACATGGATAACAAAAATGGCAGTAACGCAACAAACAACCTTGGCAAGGAAGATGTGAACAGAAGCGACTACAGAGGAGCATTAGTTCTCTTTGGATTGCTTTCAATATCTGCCATTGCTGCTAACAGCCTGATCCTGGTGCTGATCTGGAAAAAAAGACATCTCCGCACCACTTCCAACACAATTCTTGCCAGTCTCGCAGTAAGTGACCTTCTCACTGGCGTGGTGGCAGTGCCAATGGTGATTGCGTGCACAGAGACGTTAATACTGGATGTCTGCATCGCCATGGACATCTCAAATCGTTTCCTGGCCTTCTCATCTGTGGCCCACCTTATTATTTTATCCGTCGACCGTTATATTAGAATAATCAAGATCTTACAATATCCGTCCATCGTCACTAAAGTAAGACTCGCTTGGACGTTGGCATTCACGTGGGTGTTCTCACTACTGGCTTCATTGGTGCAGCTAACTTGGGTTCTACACGCCACAATGGATGATGACACAATGATCCGCTTTGACCTAGGATACGACTTCTTTCACATGATTGCCCTCGTTATGGTGCCCCTCTTCTTGATGATAAGTATCTATACGAAACTTTTCATCCATCTTCGCTGGCAATGCAAGGAGATCCACAGCGATTTGTCTGGACACACGGTGTCACAGTTTAATGCAAGGAGACGAAAAGTGAATGAAAAAAAAACTGCTTTCTTGTTCATTGCAATGATCGCAGTCTTCATATTTGGCCTGTTTTTGTATTTTTTATGGGCGATTATAGACGATTTGGAAGTAATAGGGCTTCTTAACATAGAGCGAAGCGCACAGAACATAATTGTCCCTGTCATCATTTTCCTTCGCTTTTTGAGCGCGCTGTGTAATCCCCTTCTGTGTACATTCATGAAGCAAGACTTTTTAGACGCTTTGAAATCCTTTCTGAATGCGTTAAGAAGTTCGAGAAGGGTTTAACGAAGACCCCTTTTGTAGAGCAATCTACTAAGAACTATACCTAACTGTTTACATTTTTTAGCAAAAAAAATGATCTCTGATAGAAGTACCAAAGGTTTGAGTGTAGGCCAGCGTTTCGTGATGATGACCCATTTTTAGTCGTAAAATTGTCAATTTTATCTAATGGACGACACATCCAAAGCGCAGCTTCCAGTTCTCGCATGAAACAGTTCAGTACAGAAGGCTATGTTGCATAGATAGACAACCCGCTAAACTTCTTATTTCCATGGATACTTGTGTGGATAGTTCCTTACTACAATTCAATTCAACTCGTTTATTCTCTATTTCTTTCTTAATTTTCCGTTCACTTGCTAATTTCAATTTTTAATTAATATTTTTCCACGAAACTCAACACATCTTTCAGAAAGGGTTTTTTGTGCCACTCGTTGATAATCTGTGAGCTCTGATACAAGATGCGGGCCTGCAGGCTAAAGCTTTCAAGGTTCATGTTCTTTTAACGTTCGGATATTTTTTTTTCTTCACGGGGTCTTTAGGAATGACATTTTAAGTTTCTCCAAATGTGCCTATTTGACAACTTAATCAGGATTGCACGATTTTGCCATACAAACGTTCTTTAGAAAAGAGTGTCAATCGTTGCCTAGCGATGTCATCAAAAATAGACAAGGATTAACACTACATTTCAATTGCTTTTAAAAAGAAGAAATTTCAATAATATTTACAACCACGATATTTCATTTAATAGCTCTAGTTTAAAAGTAGTCCATGGTCAGAAATATTGGGATCAAAACGATTTTATTCTTCACTTGATCCATTGGATACTTTTTCCTTCGTGGATGTTCGACCCAAACGTCGCTATCATCTCGTTGGACATGTGAAGAGGTCCCACATGCCTAATGATGCTCTCATTTGAAGGATATTTGATACAATGTGGAACACTTAACTCCCCCTTGAGGTCTCGGTGCGTTTGATAGTGTTTAACTTGGCGTACTAGATCGAATCTCTTAAGCAAGAAAAACAATGCGATTTCCAGTACTTTGGAGAGGATGACAATACCAATGATAACCAAAAACATGTAAAACGTGTCCAAGATAACTCCTCGAAGGGCTGCCAAATAAGGAGATAGAGCCTTTTTGTGGACTTCTTTGTAACGAAAACGGTCGAACTTGGTAAATCTGAAAAAAAAACAAAAACAAAAACATTGCACGTGAAAAATTAGCTTGCTCTTCCAATAGTATCTGTCGTCTTAACATCGTTTTAATTTCTGCATCACTCATACTTATTTCGTACAGTTTGGTGGAGGACGGCTAATGGGTTAAGAGGCGTAATATTAAAAATAAAAGGAAGCTTCGCGGTTTCCACTGAAATGAACGAAAAGCTGCATGCATAAAACTGAAACTGTTTCAAACCACAAGAATTTAGATAAAAGCTCTACTTATTTGCTAAAATTGGCGAAAACTCCAACAAAAAGAAAAGAAGCAAGTCTCAATGGCCATTCCGGTGGCTATCCTGGATGGCGTGAATCCCCATCCCCTACGTTGTTGCTAATGAACTAAAAAAATTGTTATTTACACGAATTAAGGCATGAAACGAGAGTTTACTGGGAATAACTCGAGGATAATACTTGCGCTCTCCAACCCAAATTCATGAAAATTATTGGATTGCAACTCACCTCTGTGGAATAACCGGTTCTAAGTTACATTCAAACTGCGTCAGCTTGTTTAAAAAGTCCTTGCTATACGGTCCCACTCCATCACAATCCATTCCAGGCTCCTGAGCCCACGAGCAGTACTCTTCATTATGCAAGTCAGCTTTTGCGCATTGATACGCCTGGTACATTTCAGCCTTCTTTCTGTAGAACGAGATTCTTGTATTCACTCTGAAAAAGGAAAAGTATAAAAAAAAAGAAGATAAAAATGAGCCGAATGAACAAACTTTCGAACCATACAACGGTACAGATCAAGGATTTATGGCTGGATGGTCGGAGGAAGGGACAAATTGCATTATGGGAAGGAGTGCCAGGCTGCATCCACAATCCGACTAATTTGACTCGGTGTTCAAAATGGTAGTGTTTTTGTTTACGACAATGTCAAAGTTTGACCAAGAAATGATACATCGCATTTGTCATTTTTCAACAATGATATTTCCCTTAACAAAGAGAACGCATGGCACTCTGCCATAACGGGTGTCAAGAGAACTAATTATCGAAAAATCCGTTCAATTTTGAATAAAAAACTGATCGATTCCAAACAACTTTTCCATTTCAATCGACTAAATTTGGAAAAAGAATTTAGTTCCAACACTTGAACAAAAGCAAAACGATACAACTTTATGGGAAAAACTCTGTTAGTTTGGACGGTCTATCTTCATTTTTATCCCTCACGGTTGGAGAGGAGATGATTAATTACCTGTTCTCGTAGTACGGAATATGGACGTCATTAACCAAAAAAGCATTTGATGTTATTCTTGTGTTGACAATCTTCCTCATGGTCAGAAGCGGTGCCATTTTAAGGTCGAAATATCCAACAATTTCCATAGTTTCGACGTTCATGGAGTGCTTAGCAGTTATTATGACAACATATACCGACAAAATGGCAATTACCAACAGCAAACACATCGGAACAAAATTTGTGTTGTTGATCTATAACGAGAAACAAAGGTACAAATTAATAAGATTCTAGAGAGCAAGGGGGTGCGAAGTCAAGAAATCAATGCGCAGCAGATTAAATTAGTTTTGATCATGACGAATCAATACGTTGGTTTGTTTCCTGTCTTGAGCTTGTAACCCCATGATTTGGTTGCCAACTCTCAGGCCGTGCCAGAGAGCAAGGGCTTACGCGGTGAGCTTAGAAGTTTACAGCAGGTGAAAAAAAGTACCATTACATATTTTGGGGATTAAGCTCCCTTAAAGGACTACAGATAAAATAATAATAATTATATACACCGATATGAATTACTTACTTGATAATTAAGCTGTTTGAGTTTGACCAGAAACTTTAGAAAAACCTTGTTAAGATTGTCAAGCCCCTTTAATCCAAGTCGAGTGGCTCTCTTGCTTTTTGACTCTTGCAAAGTGATCTCTTTGTCAGGTTGGTCACTTCTAACATTTAGAAGCGAATCTTGACTTTGATCCAATAGACTTTCTTGGGAAGAGTCAATAAATCGAGGTGGGCGGGAAGAATCCTCGAGATTTGGATTCTTCATATTAAATTCATCAACCTTTGTCTCTTTTTCGTTTCCTCTTGCTTCGTTTTTTTGTTTATTTATCCTTGCCTTTTCTTCCTTCCTCTTCTTCTTGGCCTCCTTTTTCTCCTCTTTTTTTTGTATTTCTTCCAGCTTGAACACTTTCGGAAAGCCATGTAGAAGCACAATCGCCAACTGGTATGTTCTACAATGCCGATAAACAAACCACAGAACATCAAAAACAATCAATACAGATATGAAAATCCCGTTCCTGTAGAGCTGCACGATCCATTCTAAAGCTAACAACTCTTCCGCTCTTTCTATACGCAGATTGCGTGATATGTTAACGTTTGGAGCTGATACTTGCTGAATATTTACTTTTGCGCTTATCTGAGTTTTTCTCTGCCACATAGTGAGATTGATGTCTTGTGCTCTTTTTGAGTCGATGGGTGGTTCACTGTCGAAAGTTTGGAAAATGTCGTCAAACGATGGAAGTTTTGCCTTTACACTCGGAAAATTGACCGATAGCCCGACCCACTCGATAAAAGGTTTTTTGATACCTCCTCCACCAAAAGCTCTCGATAGACCATCCAAAGACTTGTAAAGTCCTTTAGCAACCTTCAACCAAAAGCTTTTCTCTATTTTCGCTTGAATCTGTGAGATCCTGGTATTTATTTCATTACTATACGCCTCCAGTCGCTCATTAAGTCGCTTCCTCTCCTTTTCGAATTTTGCTTTTGACGCAGAAAATTGTTTCTTGATCCGATCCTCCGCCGCGTACAGGATAGATTTCCGCTTCATCTCTTCTTCCTGTCTTTCTCTCATTTCCCTGAAATGTTTCTCTAAGAACACGTTCAGCGCCTTTAAATTTTTCTCACAAGCTGCCTTTCCTTCACTGAGAAGCGACCATTGGCGATCTATTTCTTGTGCTTTGTGCTTGTCCATCTCCTGAAGAAACTTTTCTTCCAGTTTTGCCTGTTGCTCGTGAAAGGTCTTGTATTTCTCGAGTGTCTTTACATTCGTATGGTGAATAGCAGTCAGAATTACAAACAGGGCAGTCAGTGTTAACAGGAAACTCTTAACAAGTCTTACTCCAACAAACCAGACGACAAACAAGATATGCCTGAAATGTAGTTCATTATCCCGATCACGGTGGTAGCTATCTTTTGGGCGTGTTTTATAACCGTAAATAAGAATTGCTAGAAAGAAGAGAAACATCCCTCCTGCTGCCCCACCAAATGGAATAAAGACTTCTAGCTTTTTCAGATCAAAAGTTTCGTCATTGTCAGGTGGTTTAAATTCAGGTATCCTTCTTGGACTAACGAGGATGAGTTTTAAAGTCTTGCGGGAGTCTGTTAGGCGAACAACAAACTGTTTATCGATCAAGTTTGCGTCACCACCAGAGGGAAGATTGAATTCCACTTGGAAGAGACAGTCTTCATTCGTTATTGCTGAAAAATTAAGTGACAATAAAAACAAGTCTAAATGAATTATTTTCAAATATTTTTCGCAACAGATGGGCTGTGATGAAATATTTGCGGGGATTCTTGTTACAATCCAAGGATTACATCATAGGAATTTGCGCATTTTCTTCTACTGGTGCACCAGCGCTCAAGGAAACTGACAGCACGTTCATGGTTTGAGTTTCGAATTATCTGTTAATTTAACCCTTTGAGTATTATGATCACATGGAAGGCTTTTCTCGAAACAATTTTGGAAATTTTTCATGAAATAAATAGAAAGCTTCTTTAGAACAAAATATCGAGTGCTCCTTTAAAGCACTTTGAAATTGGGATAGCCTTCAACCCCTTCCTCTATGCATTTGTCCACCACGTAAAGGAGTAATGGCGGAACTTACCAATGTCATAGTAATAAACGTTTACATCTGGTCGGTCTTGATCCGTCAGCCTCGCCACAAAAAACCCTGGACAGGTGCTGACTCGTCCAGTTAAACGTATGGTCCAGAATGTCCTATTTCTCAAAAGCTTTCCAGCAAACGAGTTATCATTCAATATAACCGTCCCTGGATACACATGTTGCAGTATGGAGCGTTCAGATGGGACCTCAACATGGACTTCTTGCGAGCCTGAGTTGTTGAATACTTTATACACTCGTCCACTATCCTCATGAGCTACTTTTGCCGTAACTTGTGTTAGCTCTTCAAAGTTATTTATTGATGCTTTGGGTGAGATTAACAAAAATTTCTCTGCGTCGAAAGTTTGGCAGTTATCTTGTGGCCAACTGTTCGTGTTTATTTTAAAAGGTTCTGTAGGTTGAATAAAAAGCTTGTCAGTGGTGTTGTGTGGTTCTGATTTTTGTTCGGTTTTATACCAGCCCACACTGAAGTTTGACTCTCCAACTTTGCCACTTATCATCAAAAAAGTTCCCAAGTTATTTCTGATCTTGGAGGAATGTCTTAAAACTATGTAACCATAGTCGTAGCTTGTCGTTTCTCGACCAGTTTCTTGGGTATAGTTCTTGTCGCGTTTCTCTTGAATTTTCCTCAAAAACTTTCCATCTTTCCATAGAGACGCCTCGAACTCGAATACGGGACCTCTCGATAACTTCACGTGACATTTGAAATGTCCCCCACTGGAAAATACAGGTGTGATAGGAATGATGAACTGTTTTTCCCCAACGCAAGTGACCTGTGAATCGATGCATGAAGATTTGTAATGCGTACACGCACAGCTCGAACAGGTGCAGTTCTCTCGGAAACAGCAATCAAAGCAATACATAAAGTGCTCTCCATACTCTTGCTTCGAGTCATGTAAGGTATTGCTCCTTGTTAGAGAGCAGACAGGGTTCTTTAAGGAACTAATCGTACATTCATTGCGACATTTGTTGCAATCGTTCCTTAGTGTGTGACAAGCTTTGGAACTCTCTTCTTTCCAATAGTCTTGGTTCCTGTTTTCGACGCCAAATAGCCTAACGACGGGATTTTCAGCGCCATTACACGAAAGTATATTTCCTTCGGTCGGCAGAGTTTTCAACTTCCCATCATACCTTGGGCAAGGAGTGTTCGGTTGTCCTTTAATAATCTGCACGTTTTCAGAAGATTCCTCTAAATCTATCCGGTAATAGTCCGGAACTGGAGAGCTGCATAATTCCCTTAGGACAATCTGTGAAGTCACGTCTTTTGGAAGCTTACTGTTGTCGTTAGCGTCATGTTTGACTTCACGGAAGGTCGTGCCGTAGTCGATGGTTAGTATTCGAAGCTTTATCGCCAGACCACTTGATCGGTTAAACCAGAGGCTAGAAGAGCTTGAGTCATTGCTGACAGTTTTTCTTAGTGGTATATCATCTTTAGCCTAAGGAGAGTAAAGGAATTTTTTTTTAAAGGCAAGTTCTTGTAGGTGGATTCCCTCAGGAAAGTGAGAAAGTTCCAGTAATTTCAGATGGGGTCAGGCCTAGGACAAATGCCCTCAGGAATCACCTCAAGCAGCACTGGGCTTTAGGTGATCATAACCGCTTACTTAAGCATATGGCCACCGATACTGAACAAAAGAGCAAATACAATACTCCGGTTTTCAAAGCTAGATTAAGATAACCCAGGGTTAGTGTGAAATTTAATTTCAGATCTGATAGCTTAAAAGAAAATTCAGTCGAATTCTTTTTGTCTAGAATATGATTATATGATGCTATAAAAAGAAGGCAAGAAACTATCCCAAAAAGGCTTTTGAATAAAGGAATAAATAAACCCAGATTAAAATTTAACTTTGGATTAGCGCTAATCGGCCTTCGAACAACTGGGGCCCTGGCCTTCAGTTCCGTTCTTACCTTTAAAACATCTTCATAGACAATGTTCGGAGAAACTTGAATGTGAGGCAGTTGGGATATGTCTAAAATAAAATGAATCAGAATGTTAGGGTGAAGACGTTTGTCGTTGGATTCATGACTGTAAATAACCTAAGCAACGGAAACAGTATCGCATGTAACTAAAATGTGACTGTACCAGTACAATTTCTGTCTGTTTTTCCGGTGCATTGAACGGATTCAAATTCCTTAAAACTGCACTGAGGACGACACTCTGAAATATTAAACGCAAAACATAGGTAATTGAAATGAATTAAGCATGTAGCTCAAAATTTTAGTTAATTGACCCCCAATGAATTGTTCACATGTTTTTGCAAACAGTACAACTCAGGTTTATCAGATTTTGCATATGTAGCCAATGTAAAAGAAAATCGTGATTATATTCATAATAGCAATGCACTTATTTATATAAACGCTAATGCAAAGGATCAACAACTTGTACGAAATGATATCTTGAGTGAACTTACTTTTGCATACAGCTTGATGCGTGTGATTGCAAGAAGAAACTTCAAAGAAACCACTCTGGCACTTTTGATCACATTCTTTACATCAACAAAAAAAAAGGAACAGAAGATTCTTAAGGTTTTCTTTACAAAGTTCTCAAGAAAACAAAAATGATGAAGCAAGTCCTACAAACAAATCTTGTCTGTGTGGTGAACCGAAAATCTTAGAAGTAAACTACATCATGTTGCTGAAATGATCAATAGAACACTCAGTCCACAGATATATCTAATGATTAGTTTCTGGGACCAACTTACTGAACACACATCGCATGTCCTCTTCATTGCCACCCTTAAGTCTGATAGCTCGCATTCTCCTTGGACAGACGCATTTTCCCACCATAGGATCACAGGCACCGTTAATACATGATGTATTTTTATCAAAACATCTATTCTCAGAAATGAATCCGGCGTTGGGAACGTCTGAAAAAATTCAGGAAAATCACACAATCGGTATCTCATTTCTATGAAGAAGTCACTTTAATTGAAGAAGGATTGAGAGAATACATGTATTTTGAAAATCTCATTATTCAGAGCCAAACATGTTATTTTTCCTAAGTTATTTATGTTTAATAATATGCCGAGGGAGCTTCACCCAAATACCGAATGCGCAAAGTTGTTGCTGATATCTGAACCTCAAGTCAACTTCAAGGGTTACAAGTAGCCTACTCAGCCTTATGTTTAGGACAAGCAACTGCCCCTTGACCATAAGCCAGATGATAAGCTGTTATCCACGCACCATATATAGGTTGATAAGTCGAATGAGAAACTCCTTTGCCGTAATTCAAGTTGCTCTGAAAGTGCTAATAGGGCGATTTACTCTCATCAACCTTATGTTTTTTGATAAACAACCAGGAGATTACAAACTCTTAGTTTATATTATGACTGTAAATATATGGAAATCATGTACGTGAACTGCGGATAAAGAAATGAATATGGAAGCGATCCTTGTAGTAATGAACACTACTTAAGCAGTGGTGAAATTACGGTCTTCACGGGTTTATTTTGGTTCAAATCCCGTACAGGCCTGAATTCTTATCAGGCCTTATTTTCACTACTGCTTAATTACTGCGAAGATCGCTTCCATATTCTGTTTATATTATCCTGTAAGTTTTATAGTTAGTAGCGACCGTTCGCACAGGCAGACTGAGTGCCAAGCTCCTCCCAAAATCACCAGGATTAACCACACAAGCCACTTTTTTCTTGTTCTTTTTTTTTTTTTTTTTTAATTGTGGACAAGAAAGACAAAGTTAAAATATGTACTTACCAAAAATGTTGATTTTCAGCCTTGTATCGTTGGTTGCAACTCTCACTTCATTATTATTTTCTGACTTCAAAAAAACTCTGGAGTCTGAACGAAGAAATTCTCTGGGAAAGTAAATAGTAATTTCCACGTTCGCTGTCTGCAGCTGAGCGTGTAACGCACATGCGCAAACGGCCACCACTAAGAACTGTGTACCACTCGGTGAGGGTCCAACACCATTCAGACTGGTACGGGAAGAACTCAGGTAGGAGGTTCTCGAAATGTCTATTCAAGAAGAGTACATGTATAAAAAAATGCCCCTTTTTTTCTTATCAGTGTCAACAATTATGTTCAGGTCAAAAATAATTTGGTGTTACAATTGATGCCAAAAATATCCTCTTCTGATTGTTTTGCAACTGAGCAGAACGATTAATCTAAAATATTATCTGCAGTTAGAATTGATATTTAGATTTAAAAGCACTGGAGATGAATGCCAATATAAAGCACAAACCTTCAACTGACTCGTTTGCATCTGTTTTTTGCCGCTTTTTCCAGTAACAAAAATAACACAGTGCGGACACCATGAGTCCAAGGATGAAAAATGATACCAATGCACTGAAAATGATGACTAGAAGCTTCTCTGTTCCATTTGTGTCAGCTGACAGCTTGATTTGGGGCGCGTACTGAAGAAAGAAATGGTAGCGTTTATATGTTGATGGTGACAGGCGAAAAGAGGCCTTAGCTTCATGGAGGCCCAACTACATATTTGGGAGTAAGTAGCAGGCCCGTATGAACAAGTTTTGAACTTAGGGGGCACAACGGATAGCACAGTTGTGGGTGTTTAATGGTGGGTACTGAGCTCAACCCAATAGGCGGGTCCGGGAGCATCCTCCCACGGTGACTTTTGAAAATCAAGACACGCTCTAATCCCATTCCGCACATTTTCAGACACTTTTTGCGATGCAATATGTTTTAAGACTCAAGGCATCTGTTCTTGACTATTTTATTAAATTATTTCCAAAAAAAAGAGGGGGGGCTACATTTACGGCCCAGTGTAGGTACTTTGTTTATTAGGCCGGTGAGAAAGTTAGAAGAGAGAGAGAGAGAGAGAGAGAGAGAGAGAGAGAGAGAGAGAGAGAGAGAGAGGGAGGGGTAGGGAGGAGTGAGGTTAGTAAAGAGGTAGGTAAGTAGGAAGATTGGTAGTAAAGCAGATAGGCAGGTTAGTAAAGAGATAAGGAGGCAGGTCTATAGGTAGGAAGGGAGAGGGTTAGCTGGAAGTATGTTTGGGCAGGTAGGGGTTAGTTCATGATATATCACTGGACTAGATTGTGGCAAGGTAGTCGATAAATAGTTAAAAAAGACTTACCACTTCTAACAATATTGAATTGTTATCCGCAAGTGCTGTGTAAGATATCTTTACGAGTGAATTATTGTCGTCCTCTGGGGTTGTGGTGAGGAGTTCGATCCAAAATTCGCTGCTCTCGTAAAAAAATATTTTTCCCTGTTATAAGAAAAGAGACGATAAATGCAACATAGACAATATTTCATAACTAATAAAAGAGACACTCAACTTGACTAGAGGGAACGCCGCTAAGAGTCCTTCAGTTGTTTGGACGTACAACAAAATTCGCTGTTGTCTGCGCATCCCGACAAAGAAAAAAAAGGGAAAGAGGCCGAGAGAAGAAACACGTTTAAAAAAATAAGAGAAGTGACCAAAATAAAACGAAATACTAAAAAAAACACACACAAAAAAAAAGAAACTTGAAAAAGTTTTTGATCGCCGTTAACAGCTAACGAAAATCTTACTAAAATCTACCGATCCTCGACCTAACAGGGCACCGATCACTCACTGGTAAATTGTGGCGAATAATCAAAGTCCTGCTGTGTTCACTGGCGTTACTGTAGTCCACTCTATCGCCAGTTTCTGGAAGGCCAACGAATTTTTGGTACGTTTTTATGGCTGACGTTGTTGAAGCAATGAAAACAGAAAAAAAGAGTGGAACGAGTCTTCGAATTGATGGCTGCGTCGTCATTTTATCTATGGAAATCACCCCAAAGAAGATAAAAATATCGTTAGTGATGCAGTCAAAGCCGTCTCGGCAGCTTATCATTCGAAATCAAAGACAAATACTCAAACAGAAGGCATAATACTACTAAATAAAATAATTCCAAAGAAAATGGGGACCATGAACCCACTGGTTATTGTAACATAATCATCATGATATCACCTTTATTGTAACGTTATTATCAACATTTCTTTTGCTCACTAACTGTAGCTGGTCCATACAATACTCAAGTTCAATGTATCGGTAAAAATTGTACATGCCCTGAGGCCGTAGATTTCGTCATCCACAGCAGAATTTGTTAATTTACTTGTTGTTTCGTTAAAACGCTAAGCACTGAAAAAAGGACTAGAAAATTAAAATAATTCGCCTTAAGTGTTTGCAATTTCCGCTTTCACACGCCATTTTCATGTCGCAATGAATAATTTTCTGTCCATCAATTCATTTCTTCTGAAAATCGCTCACAATGATATATATTCCTACTTTTCCGTTGCCTCTGGACACGATAGATAAACATCACGCATCATACGTCAAACATTTATTCAGACCGCACGGCTAACATTTCTTATCAGCGATAAAAGCGTCTACAATGCAAGCTTTGTCCGTCAGTTCCAAAGTTAGACTGAATAAGACAACTAGCATATAAATTACGGTTGGTAGCATTTATGGTGTGCGCCTTGAAGGAAAACTTACCTCATTAGAAGAGTCTTGTGTCGCAGATAACAACTTGCCGGACAACTCTCAGAACTTGTCAATTCTCAACAACAGCACATATAACTTACCTATTATAATATCTTCTGAAACAAACCCGTTCAACATCCCCTGTTATACCAGAGTAATCGTTGCTTTAAATACGTACAACTCATCTCCACTAAAAACTACTTGTCCATTTAAGGTCAACCTCAATGTCTGTCTATATTTTTATCGAACGGAACGGAAATGTTATTAAAGAAGTCATCGAGATAGTCACGAGAGTCATGCGGGTGATGACGTAACAGAGCATATCAAGGGGCGCGTTTAGTTTATTTGTTTATTTTTTCACGAACGAAACGAAATAAGTCAAATATGGTGAAATGAATTTAGGGACATTGATTCAAATTTCTTCCATTAAATTCTCTCTGTTTAATGCTCTGTAAAACAAAAGGTATTCTCAACAAACCTCTCAAAGTATTATCTTCAAAGCTGGAACTGTTAGTCAACTTGAATGTGTTCCAACGGGTCACGCATGAGCTACTCCAAGAGCATGTCACGCAATGTATTCGAGTCTGACGCGAGCTGTTTCATCGCGCGAGAGTATTGGTATTCCACGCACATTTGAGTGAGCGGAAGTTTTTTTGGCCTCGCAAATATTCACAAACCTTTACTATGATGTACAGCAAAATTAAATGCATGCGGAAACAGTTTTTTTCCCTCTATTATTTTGAGGTCTATCTTTTGCAACTCTTGCTTCGTCTTAAGGCTTCTGTAGCTTAAGTTTCTCTTATCGAAATCATGATCACGGACAACAAAAATAAATGATCGCCTCTTCCTCGCAAGATCGTCATTAGGATGAATAAAACAAAACTCTCGTCAGGATTGGGAGTGGTTCTCTCTGGCTGTCTGGTTTAATTATTTTTTATCTTAATTTTTTTTTCTTTTTCGAAGTGTAAACACCTCACAAATGACACAGATGAAGAACGACAATCGTAGCCATGACACTTTATCAATATGCACTTCCCCGGTATTGAGAACTGATAAATCTAGCCCGAAATGTAAAGATCACCGGCTTTTAATTGCTTTCAAGAGGGTATTTAAGCTAAGAAGTCATTCAAATTTAGATCATCTTGTTTAGTGTCAGCCAATTTCGACCGAATTCCCGTGAATTGAAAAACCAAGAATTTGTTAGATAGTTTCGAGTATAACGTGTTAGGCAAGCGGAAGAAAATTATTCTCCTTCTCTTCTACTTACAGCCGTTTTTACACATCCGTTAAAATGTTTTTCTTAATTAACCCTCTGCATATCTTTTCTTCCATATCTTTTCAACAGGCCTAATTAAAAAACCAGAGCTCAATTTTTCCGTTGTATAGAAGAACAGTCATGCTCAAATTCACCACTGTCCGTTAAAAGAGATGTTATAAAGTGAAATTATTTTATTTAATTGATTTTATAAATTTTTTCATTCATTGTAGTCAGATTTGGGAGACCGTGGGAATCTAAACGCCTAACCATGCAAATGCTTGCTGTAAGTTCAACTGAATACGGATGCATGGGCATATATTAGAGTAGTGATTGAAATCTTGAAACAATTTCCTCGTCAAAATAGAATGTCGAGACAAGCAACGCCATTTGTTTCTTTTCGTGCATGTGAAGGGGAGACTAGGATTAGCTGGGAAATTCAATCCTGTAAGAGACAAGCAACGCCATTTGTTTCTTTTGGTGCATGTGAGGGGGAGACTAGGATTAGCCAGGAAATTCAATTCTGTAAGTCACTCCGGTACTATGTGGCTTGTACTTATTTTAAAGGCTTGGCCAATATCAGTATCTGGGCAACTGCCCACCTACCCCTCCCCTAACCCAACAACACTCTATTGATGACAAGTTAGGGTTAATGTTGGGTTAGGGGAGGGGTAGGTGGGCAGTTGCCCAGATACTGATATTGATCCGAAATTCCTCATGTCAACCACAACTTGGAATAAGCCTCTTTTGCACTCTTTTTATTAGTTTATTTTTAAAATGAGACATTTCTGTAAATTCATCGAAAAAGTTTCTAACAACTGTTAAGAACAGTGTCTTATATTACCAGCTTCGCTTCTTGTGTTATGTCTTTCTTTAAATAATTTCATTACTTTATATACACAATATTATACAATACTAGTTCGATGCTGCCAATATTTCCTAGCGAAGTAATTTACAAGGTAATGTAGCTAACATGTCATGATCCTGAGGATCGGAATTCTTTGAAAAGCTGTCACAAAAAGAATGAAATTAAGACGATAATTGTCATGATTGAGAAAAAGAACCGAAATTATACGCTTCTAATGAAGCGCAGTGGTTTGTTTGCAAAAATGTTTAACACGAGTCTAGGTTAGTTCTTTTCGTTACGCACTTTCCATAAAAATTGTATGAACATATTTACAATGAAAGGTTCTCAATTTGTAACACTTTTTTTTAGCAGGTTTGGACAGATTCTCGCGAACTATTGATGCTTTCTGTTGAAGCCGTGAGGAAGACTTTAGGAATCGTTACTTTACGATGATCTCCGTGTTTGTCATGTATGTTTCTGCCATCGTGTTCATCTTCCGACTCCATTGTTTTCAAATGAAATTGCTCCAGAATTTCAGCTGGCAGGGCTTTATACACGTGAACTTTTTTCAACCGAACCATCCCTCTTGCCTTAAAGAACAGAAACACAACGTAGGTAAGAGCTGTGATTATCAAAATCGACAAGGCAGCCGCCAGAATGAAATAAACCGTCTCCAATATTATATTTCGTATGGCGTCCACAAACCGTTTTGATTCGCGCTTAATTCGCTGGCGGTAAGCGTCACTTTCGTAATCCTCATAAGGTGTTCCTTCCAGTGTCGGGATAATACAGGAGTGGAAGTTAAAATTCAGAAGAGATGCTTGTTCCCCAAAGCAGTTTTTCGGGTCATCCTCCAGGGAACAGAGTTGTCTATTAAGTCGTTCCATGCCCTCTTGCTGTTCCTTGTTGAGGTCCAAGATCATGCTGTTGTATTCACTGATGGAAGCACTTACGGATTTCTTGTACTGATCCAGTGCATTGTTATTGATAAAATCCACCTGATCTTCTATGGCGAGGTTTGTGAAGCGGAGATCCGTGTCCAGACGAGAAGCAATCATATTGTATCCACCAAGTTCTTCTATAACGGTCACATTCATTACATTATAAAGTAAAGCGACGATAAGGTACAGTGTAGCTGTAGACAAAGCAATTATCATGATCAGCGGGAGCAGATTTGTGCGCATGATACGTTTCTGAAGACTCTTACAGAGCGCTATAAACCTTGAAAACGTCTCAGCGAGGAGGTCAAAGGTCCTTCGAAGAAGTTTCTCCGCTCTTTCCTTGATTTTGGATTGTTTTTCGTCAAATTCATCCTCGTCGTGGCTTACAATTTCCTCAAATCCTTCGATTAATTTAAAAGCAATTTGGTAAGTTTTCGACCCGCGATATATGAAGAGCAGAATATCGAGCAACACAAACACTCCTAAGACGGCCTTTCTGGTCGTAAAGAAAACTTCAGCGTCATACACTTTGGTAACATTTTTTATTTTTGCTTTCCTTTCAAGGAGTTCTTCCTTTTGGCTGTCAACCATTTCTTCCATGATATCTCCCTTTTCAATGTTGTAGAAGGATCCTCCTTTTGCAGACTTGATGATGGATGACTGGCTTGCTTTTGAAACGTTTGAAATTGTGTCTAGGCCATAGACATCTTCGTAGACAATGCGCTCGGAGAAGAATTCGGTATCTGTTTTGCTTTCGTTAAATTCTATAACAGAGTCATTCGAAGCAAAGAAGTGACTGACTTTCCCTTCAAAACATTCGGCTTTGCCTTTTGCCCACTCCTCACCCTCGTCGACCAACTTCCGTATACCTTTCTGCACTTGTTTCTTTGCGGATTTTAACATATACCTTAGAGGACACATGAGTATGGTGCTAAGGGGATGTTCAGGCGACTTGCCGGTCTTTAGGACTTCGCTAAAGTCCCCCAGGCCTTCTTTTACATATTCTAGCTTGGAAATGATGTTATTTTCGGCTTGAATGAGTTTTTCTTGATCTAAAGCCCCAACGTAATCAAGAAATCCAACGAGGGAACTGTCCGCTATGCTCCGTTTTCTTCTGATGGAATATCCATTCTTGTTTTTCTTGCTGGGCCCCCCATTGTTTTCATTACCGCTTGATTTTTCATCCTTTGGATGATAGAATTGTCGTGTTGAGTTACCATTAACAACGATTCCTCTCCTCTTCCGGGATGTTGACATCTTTATTTCATATGCCCCTTTCGGCAAAGCAAACCAGCCATTGTTGAAAACTCTTTTGGCGTAGTTCGTCAAACTCTCCTTGACTTCCTTTAACTGTCTCTTGGTACCCCCCTGAAATTCGTTTATTCGCTCGTCAATGTCTCTCTTTAATTTGTGAACTTTTTCTTCTACATTGCTGACAATTTTCCTACTTAATTTGTTAAACATTTTCAGGTGGTTTTCCTGTATCAGGCAAGTACTGTTGAACCTCAGCCAATGCAGCTGTAGACCAATAAAGTAGTCGCAAGATCTCTGTATGTCTTCGCTAGCGTCAAGAAGACGTTTGACTTCTCTTTCACGATGTTGGTCCATTCGTAAAGCGATAGCATTACTCTCTTCAATTTTTTCGTACACAAAGTTTTGAAATTCTTGAATTATTTTCATATTGTCGGCGTGAAGAAGCGTCAAAATGGCGAAAGCCATCGAAAACGTAAACGCCATACTGTAAAGTATTCTAAACACGGCAAAGAAGGCAACCAAGATGAGATGCCTTCGTTTGAGTCTGTTTTCGTCTTTTGGCGGAGTAGTCGCCCTCCCAACTTCAGTTTTACCCATAGATACTTTCTTGTTCTTAACGAATTTCCACCCAGAATGATTCTTATCTGTTGAAGTATCCTTGTCTTTTTGCGTGACCTGTGCATAGATGATCAAACCCAGCAGAGAAAGAAGTACACAGCCCGTGATAACGAAGAGTGGCATCAATATCATCCAAGGGTTTGGTTTCGTATCATGATGTTTCTCCACTGGTTCTCTCACTTTCCTGGCTTCTTTGTCAACTAGGGCTAACGTCAGGTCCAGTTTTTGTTTAGCGTTAGAGAAACGAACGGTAAAAAGTCGCTCCTTATCCTGTAAACCGTTCCTTGGAACTTGTATGTCCATCTCGAATTGGGTCGCTGGACAAAGTATCACCACATCTTGATGCATAACTCTCAAATTATCCACTTCATCGATGACTTCAAGAGTGAAGAAACCAGGACAAGTGGTCAGAAGTCCACCGATCCTAGCATTCCAACTAGTGTTTGTTCGAGTCAAACTACTTTTAAATGTCTCGTCATTACGAATTGTCGCATTAGTCAGGACATGCTTAAGAATCGATTCATTTTCAGGAATGGTCACTGTCATCATAGGCGATCGCTGAGAGTTCTGTAAACGATATGCAAACTCGCCCTGGGATTGAACACCAAGATGCTCCACTTTTGCAGGTATCCATTCTGAAATAGGACCGCGAATGGTCTTTGACCAATCAGAAAGACTCTGGCAGTTACCACCATCACTCCAAGTTCTGGTGGTGATTGAAAATGGTGTCTTGGTCAGAATCTCAATTGTGCCTGCCTCGCTAGCTCTAGCTAAAGTTATGTTTTCTCCCTCCAAGCTAGCTACCGTGTATTTGTACGGTTTATTTTCAGTGTCCCTCTGGGCTCGAAGATAAAGTAAATTAGGAATATCAAAATTTACTGAGTGGGAAACTTCCAAGGAGTCGAGGCGATTAGTTCCCTGGTGCATCACTGACTTAGAATCTTCTCCTGACGTAGTTTCCAAGGTTTTAGAGATCCATTGTGAAACGAAGCGTCCACTCTTGTGCTTTACTCTGTATCGTAGGGTATACAAGGTCTTTGGGACATTGTGTTGAAGAAAGCAATTAAACTGTAACTTCAAGTTAGATGGCTTGTTCATGGTCAATTGAAACTGGCTGGTGTCTCCTCTAGCGCATTTCTTTGGTATCTGGGTACAGTTGTACTCCCTGTAGAAATCGGAACAGCTAGAAAGGCAGTCTTTGTAGCAACAGGAGCATGAGCTGTCTGCATGACTTGCAGATTGGTCACAATGTGAACATTTACTTCTACACATTCTGCAAGCGCGATATGCATGCGCGCAAAAATGTGTCGGAAAGGAAAACAACGGCTTTTCTTTAAATTCAGCTTTGTTTAAGCCAAATATATCGGTGATAATATTGGTGTAGTTTGTACAATACAGTTTGTCCAAGCCTGTTTGAAGTACACAGTCTCTCTGATCATGTTTTGAGCAGATGGTGGAAGTTTCCGCAGTTTCACAAGCGTCATTCAAAGATCTGTAATGATATAAGTCACCTGGTGCGACGTCATCTGGGCACAGTCGTCGTGAATGGTGAAAACACTTGGCGGGATATACCTTTGTCTGGCGCTTACGCTGCAAGACATGATGGATGGTGTAGTGATTTGGTGCTGGGTACCTGCAGTAGTTGTGAAATACGGCAGAGAATCCTGGCACACCTGCAAATTCGAGATTTTCCTCATAGGAGTTCCCTGCATCATAATCACTGTACGTTGGAACTAGGTTGGCCTCGTCAATTATTACGTCTACGTGAAAGTTTGAATTTCGATGCAAACGAGCTTGCTTCGATGAATTTCCTTGAAGGAAAAAGGTTTCACTCGTCCTGTTTAACCAGAGGCGATCTTCGAATAGAACGAATTCTTTCGATGGTGAAAGCACAAAAAGCTTGCTGCCTGATTGAGCTGATAACAAAAAAAAAAAGATACATATATCTATATCAGTTGTTTAAATCAGCAGAATCTCAAGAAAATTTTGAAATGCATGGCATTTCAAGAAATCAACTAGTATGGCATGCTGTGTAATCATGAACACCAGACATGATTTTCGGATAATAAGCTGCAGAGAGACTAAGACGTATAGATAGACGGGCTGAGTTACTTTGTGAAGAAAATCTGCTGAATGAAAATTCGGGCTGAATTTTTACTGTTAGGTTAACCTAAGGGACAATTTAAAGCGAAGCAGATCGATAGGCAAAAAAGAAGCAATAAGGCGAGATCTTGAAGGAAAGGGTGAACGATGGACTCGAGCCACACATCGTCACAACAACTGTGACATTTTTTACATAGCCTGCATTAATGATATTGATCATCGGTCTTACCTTCGAGGGTTTCCTTATCATTTACTCTTTTGCTCAACGTTAAGGGCTTGGATATATCTGTCATAGGAATTTTCAGAGTCTGAGTTAGAAATCATAATTCATCTATATAATTTTGTTTACCATTCCTTATCAAAGGTGCATTAAGCCAAGCGAGCCTCGAAAGGAAAAAAAAAAGCGCTTTCTCATGGAAGTTATCCAAACTGTAACTAGTAAAGACTAATGAAGTTGAAAACAACAGTCTGTTTACTCACCGACGCACTTTCGGTCGAAGGTTAACCCACAGCCATACGCTTGATATGTCGTCTTTTCGCATTTCGGGCTACAAGCTGTAAGTTGAAAACCAATAAAGCTTGAGTTAGACGTTCTTTCAAGTCGTAATGAAGTCAGGGTAGTAAAAGACGTAAAGTCGATCTTTAAGTTCACGATAATGTCTATAGCAGAGTCACACTTACCTGTGCACACCCGGTCGCTTGTCCTCGTGCACGATTCTGATTGGTAAGAATTTTCTGGACAAGGGGTAGTGCTGCAAGCTAAACCGAACTTTGATGTAAGTAGATGCTGTGCTACCAGTTCTTGAACCGGAAAACATTTCATATTTCACAATAAATAAAATAATAAATTTAAAAAAGAGAGAAATTTCTTCAAGTATTTAGGATATGCGAACAATTTCGGAAGATTAATTAATTTTTTTTCACAGCTTTCAGCATTCTCAAAAACTCATTACGCACGTCTTCAGAGGGAAATGGACTCAGATCTAAAAAATACCTTTGCACGTGATTCCATCTCCCCAGTATCCTTCATCACACGTGCACAGAAAACCACCAATGGTATTGTTACACATGGATCGTACATGACAGTTATGCTTTTTTCTGGTGCATTCATCAATATCTATAACAAAATCAGTGAAAATAGTAAAAATGAGGAAAATGAGGAAAATGAGGAAAATCTGCTCATCGACGCTTCAAGAGGAGACCAATTATCCTCTCTTGCTTGTACACTACTTAATCTCTCCTTTAATTTATAATAATCATAGTCATAATAATAAAATAATAATAAAAAACTGTATAAGTCTTCGAGATTACTATCACAATCTTTTGCAACTAAAATCAACAGATATTTTGACATAGGATACACACCATGGCAGGTTCCCCTGTTCATTTCATATCCTCTGGGACAGATGCACCCCTCTGATTGTCCGTCACAAGCAAAGTGGCACGAGTTGGGGCATTTATCTAAGGGCGATACTTTTTTTGAAGCTGATGGTATAGCTACAAAGAAAGAAAAAAATGAAGATCACGATATGTTCAAAGCCACTGATGAAGACCGGTACATGTTTTTGCCTCAAATGCTTGATTTTTCGTAATCAGTAAGTTCTGAAGGTAAAAAGAAAGATTAAGGAAGATGCATACTTTGTTCCCCGCACAATCACTTTTTACTCTACTCCGAGTGAAAAAATTACCACAATATAATCAATCAGATCAATCAATCAATGTATTTAATGGTGTCGGTACGCTTAGCTAGAAAGCTAGTTTACAGGTACGCCACAAAAAAAACATGGAAAAAAAATAAAAGCCTTCTGAAGGTGTATAAATTTAAGATGATTTATAGAAACTTACCAAACTGTTGAAAATGGTTCATTTTTGCTCTAAATCCTCTGGATAATAACAGCCTTCCGTGGAAATCCTCATTGAAGAAGATCTTTGAGCCGTTTCCGACGAAATTTGCTGGCACGCAAATGACGATTTTAACTGAGGGTGCTTTGGTCGTTGCTAAGGCTACTGCGATTAAAGTGAGTACCAGAAAAGCTGTTCGTACTGATATCAAGGTCGAGGACTGGGTAGGCACAGTTCTTGTTCGTCGAGGAGCCTCTGAGTCATGGCTTTTCCCTAGTAAGGTGTTAGTAAAGGTGTCAATTTTGTAATTCCTGGTAGCAGAAATGGAAAACCTAACTTCTATCATACCCTGTTACTAAAGGCCAAGTTATTTATAACATGATGGTGTTATGTGACAAGATGCCGGTAAAGTCGACATACACCGATCTCTAGGCCGGGTGGAAAAGCAAACGTGCTTTTTAACGAATCAATCATAACTAAAACAAGAAACAAATAACTTATTTACTTGTGCATGAGTCCTGTTGATATTTATCCGTGGGCTTGCGTGAGCAAACACGGTGCTGACAATTATTTTATTCAATTAATATTAGGAGAGATATTTCAGAAGTACCTTCCTTTTGAAGTTGTCTTATAGTTTCTGTAGTTTCTATGGTTTTACTTTTTCCTTTCCCACTGTCCTCTTCAACTGGTAATTGTGGAGTTTCGAAAGTAGCAATTTTCCCTTCATTTAAAGAAAAAAGTTTGTAAAATAAGGTTTTATTCAAAATAAGATTTGATTTTGAGCTTTCTCGGTCATCGCTCGGCCATCGCTTAAAATGCAATCCTTAAATGGGACGAACCAATATCTACAAGTACTCACTTTCCATCCAAGGACTTCGATTTATCAATTGCCTGTAGCATTTGCCGTCCTGTTGATCGCACATCATTTTCTCTTTCTTTGAATCTTCAAACATTGTAAGTTTTTCTTGTGAAAGGAGGGAAAAAGATACGTTCGTGAGGCCTGCTGCTTATTTACCACTTTATTAGTTTATTCATTTTTTTGGTTTCATTTTAATTTGACTGATGAAACGGCCACTTGTCACTTTTACTTCGAACGATTCGCCAAAGAAGTCGAACTGCTACTGTATCTAATACAGTATTACATTCAGCCTACTCCTGTGATTATTACGACTAAGAAGGTATATACCTGCAACAGCTGTACCGCGTTTTCTCATTTCAAATTCCTCGTCTGCTTCTTTTCCTGTCAGGGTACACCCGTACTGTCGCTTTCTTACTCTCCTTTTGAACACGCAAATAATCAATACGACAATGATGACTATCAGAAAGATTCCAGCCCCTGCAACAAGACCTCCTACTATTGACCAGTTTGTTGTTGTCTCGGGCAAAATGAACTAGAAGAAAAAGAGAACGTGTCAGTATTATGACAAGAAAAATGCAGCAATATAGTCATTTTGGAGAAAATGTAAGACAGTAAGAAATATTTCTGAAACCGGCGATAAAAGGGGACATGTAGGCGCTTACAGTAACAACCAGGTCATAGAAACAGAAGGAAACTTAAGCATTCTGGAGACGTGGAAAGTAAATAGTTTCACTTCTCGTCCACCAATAACGCGCTGAACAGAAGTTGGAAAGTTCTGAAAACGCCCGTGTAATATATACTAAATAAGTCTCAGTGTGCCTCTATGATTTAAATTCACAAGGATCGATATTAGAGGGATTTCCGATTGAAGATAATTGGCGATTTCTTGGTTCTATTCTACTTCTCTCCGTGATTGGTCCAGAAAACCCGTGCCACTTTCTCAACCGATAGCGTTTAAGACAAAAGACAACCACGACTTAGCCACATGTGTTTTCCTTTCTTCTAAATGGTTGATGCGTTTTTCTTTTATTTCGCTTTTGGTTTTACGACTCTCAATGGGAATTTGTTCAAATTTGAATTCATAGCTAGCTTACCACTTGTATGTCAACAATATCCTCTTCATGAAGAACATCGTACTCAATCCTTATACGTTCAAAATCTCTATCCTCTCCGGAAACATGGACCTTTAATGAAGTATTTTGACTCTCTTGGAATTCTATGTCACCCTGGAATCCAAAATTTCAGAAAATATTATAGTAGAGAAATAGTTTTCCTTGTTTGGCTGTTTGTCCTGGTATGTTTTGTAGGCCTCTTCTTCTTTTTGCTTTGCCTTGCTTTGCTTCGCTTTTGTTTTTGTTTTCCCCTCTTTTTAATTACCATCCTCTATGGATAAATATGTTTCGATACAATCCTTAATGAATATAATTTTCACTGTTGTGTAATCGACTTACCTCCAAGTTATTTCTCACGAAGAATACTTTTTGTTCGCTTAAGTTTACACTCGCTAGAAATGTATCCACTTGAATCACTTCTTCGCTTTCGGCTGAACAGTGGTTGAATAGTTGTACAATGGAACAGTACAGAAACAGGAACCACCTGAACGAAAATCGAAACAAATATTTGTTATACCTTAAGTAGCTGGCAGCTCGACACATTTCTCGATGGAACAGTGGTCACTACTGCCTGCCATACAAGCCTTAAACATTAATATCATAGGCAGTGATTAAATAAATTGAATATTACAACGATGTTTATGGCACGTAACATGGCTGATTTACAACAAATAAAATTAAAAAAAGGTTCTACCTTTTGTAACGAACAAAATAGACCGCACAACCCTTTCCTGTCGTTTTGTGGTTTCTTTTGGTGGTCACAATTAAATATTTCGAGGATCAAAATTCCTCATTTAGGATGCTGTGTTTACATGGAAGTGTGGGCAGACGGCGTAATCTGTCCCGCGAGTCAAAAAAAAAAAGAAAAGGGAAAGAAACCTGATCATGCAAATGAATTATGTCCCAGATTTCATACGGCCCGGCAAATGTCTTTTTCTTTCGCCGATTTGTGTAAACCCGCTTAACGGATTTCATTGGGAAAAAGCTTAAACGGTTCCTGCTCTTTGTGCTCATGTTATCATCAATCCAAAATTATATTTCATTCAATGATCACAATGAGAACAACAGTAATAATCGTCCTGGCAAAGTTGACACCATCAAAAGTCCCTGCATATACGTAACAACATTTTTTTTCAACATCACCTGTTCATGATGGCTTGAAATCTCAGAAGCTATTGTCCTTTGGTCTGATTGTTCTGTTAATGGCAAGATTCTCACCACACAAAGATTATATCTTAAAGACTTCCGGTTATGACGCTCCTCTCGGCAAATCTGACGGATGAGTAGTCATACCTTGTAAGGAAAACAAAATAAACTTATTATCTCATTTTTGCTCAGATATTTTTGAATAAGAATTTAAGATCTTTCCGCATCAAGCGTCAATAAGAGAAACCTTCAGTTAAGTTAAACTTTAGAGTTATATCTTTATTATTAAATTCTAACTAAATTACCTTTCAACTCGGATACTTTTAAATATAGCTGATCCTAGTTTAACGACTATCGCGACTTAACCATTACACTCGTAGAGGACCATGTACTTTCCGTCAACAGAAGCACGCATTTTAAATAGACAAGATTCGAGAAAGTTGTTGGGGTAGGGAAATTTTAGCATGACCGGAAATGGATTTTATTGCAATTGCAATCATTTCGCGTGACCCTCCTCCCTTGACTCCATTTCCTTTTACGGCTTCATAGTTATCGTTTGATTTTCGTCATTTTCTCGTGATTTTAATAGAACTTCCAATTTCGGAAGACAGTAGATTTAGACTACTTTTAACTTTGCATGATTACTGAAAAAATTTAAATTGACTTTGTATGATATATCGAGTGAAACGGTACATATATTGACCTTGGTAAGATAAACTTTTGGACAAATGAAATATATCAAAATATAAAATGAAACGCGAACTGCACATTTTTAATGCAATTTTATTACCCATATGCCCATCTTCGAGAAAGGAAAAAAAAGGGAAAAAATAGGAGACGTTCGCGTAGCGAAAATTTCCAAAGTTGTCATAAATGTAAATTGTGAAATAGATACTTCATAACGCAATAAATCCTTACAGAGAAATATTCCTCCTCCCGCGCGCTCTTCCTTGCATCAGTGAGTCAGTCCGCTTTTTTCACAGTTTTTTTACAGTTATTACAGTGTAGTAGTCTTAAAAATATCTGGTCTGCAGTTCAGGCGCACTGTTTACAGGCGGACTGCCTCAGCCTTCGAGGGGGGCGTGTTACCGTTCTCCCTCGCGCCGCTCGGGACACGCGTGAAACCATTTCATGTCTCAGTTTTCCGTCACGCTCACCTCACGATCAGCAGGAAGTCGTAACCGAATGTTTGGACATCAGGGGATAGCTTTTTATATTCAGTAGTTTTTTTGTTTCAAGATGCACTGGAAGTGAAAAACTCGATGTAACGCGCAAAGATTTTGCGTTTCACAGCGCGCGCTGAAAATCAAAATTAAAAACTTGGACCTTTCCTTTGCATGACCTTTCTTTTTGATGTTGGGTTTATACTTGACGTAACTAATTTCATCGGCTGTATGGGAAAGTAATGAATCATTCAATATGATCAAATATTTTGCGAATCAATCAGTTAGTTCAGTTGTGTTGTGGTTCCCAGTCTACTACGCGCGGAGATGAAGATGACGTCAAAGCCAAAGATCCAATCAAGACATCCGATACAAAGAGCGGATCGATTTGAACCGAACTATTCCGCCATTTTATATGTAAGCTGTACACTATGGCTGTCGATCATAAAAAGTTCCAGTTTCCCAGCTTAACAACCGACGAAGCTGTTGCAAATTGCAAGTCCATGTTTGGATCACAAGTTGCATTAACTGCAGACGATTTTGTACGACCACAGGTATCGTCTGTGTCGAAATTTTTCGTATGTAATCGACAGTATGAACTCGAAAATTAGTTTGAGCAACAATTTTTTCCTGCTTTTCCTGTTCTGTTTAGACTTTTGGAAGCGATAACTGAGAATCGCTTATTATCTAAGCTGTTAGATTAAAGAAAATTCAACAGGAATTCTAACATAGAGCAAAATTGTTTTTTCTTTTTTTTTAATTTACCAAATGTTTATGTCCATTCGCTTCAACGTGTAGCTGATACAATGCGAATCGGCTTGTTTCCAGTGTTGTTATGTCAGCATGGATCAGCTGAAATGATAGATCAAAATCCGGGTAAAGAATAGAATTTTGATTTGTTCTAAGGGAATGTAAAGATCATATGTTACTGAAGTGGGAAAACTATAGCACTGTTCTGTTGTGAATTACTTTGTTGAAGTCTTCTGAATGTTTAGTTTCAGCAGATGAAACGTTTCTACATTGGAGTACTTACAAATTTTGGTGTTTGCCCTGAACAACTTACTCAGGTATAAGATGACAATAAATTATTTTGCAAACTTTATTATAAGTTGGAAGGTATAAAATAACGATGCAATCTTTGCACATGGTAAAACAATTTTCATAGATGTAAACCCTTTAACTCCCAAAAGAGATTAACATGTAACTTCTCCTTGTAATATCTAGACATAATCCAGAAAATAGGTCATGAGAATATTCAAGCTTATCAGGTAGAAGTTTTTATCTTGATCTAACACCAAATTTTCATAACTTACCTACAAGGAAATGTGTAGCAGCTAGAAGGGAGAATTGCAATCAGATCTTGGGAGTAGAGGGTTTAATCCAGAGTTAGCACCCATAGCACTCAGCACTGTGTTAACTAAACAATATGGCCAACATTTTTATTAGCTATTCTTTAAGATTATCTTAAATTATTCCTTTTTATAGCCACATTTCAAGTCCATGGACTCTTTTGAATACCCAGAGCTTCATGAAGAAAGTGCCCCTTTGGTAATTTTAGCACTAGCCATGTAAGTATTAACAAGAAATGGGATATTTTTTTTTTTTTTTTTTTTTTTATTTGCACCCACTCCACCCCCTCCTCCCCCATGTTACATTAGGGAGTTTAAGAAATGGTGATGGTGACTCTGCAGACAATGTCAGCTAAAAATGAATTTATCTCTTCCTACAAATTTTGTGACACTCTGAAGTCATTTCTCACTGTCAAAACTATCTTAATACTGAATATGGAACACAGCATTAAATTAGAAATAGAAATTTTATATTTTAACCATTGCCTTTCTCATTCTCGAGACAATGCAAAATTTGGTCATTTCATATTATTGTTTTAGTGCATAGTCATTGTTCTACTCATTAAACCTTTTGTTTAGTGACGTTCCTGTTGCCTTTGCTGTCATGGTTTTCTTAAACTCCCTATTTCATGAAAGACCAAATCTGGGCACTCATGAAAATTGCTTTCAGGGTATTCTGTAGGGGGGAATTGGGATTTCTTTCTTGCCCTGTATTCATCACAAAATTCTTCACAATGTTCTCAAGACTGCAGTTTTCTTAAAAAAGAACAAAAAAAAACTACTGAAGTATATTTTAAGATCTCTATTAACTCCTACCCACAAAAACTAGTAATTCTGCATGTACTGAACAGGCATAATTGTATTCTTTAGGCAGCGATTCATGTTTGCTTGTGGAGTAGAAAACTTCACCATATTTGACATTGTTGCACCAAGTAAGTTCTCTATGTGTATGCACATGTAAAACTATTGTTATCAAATTTGAGATCTGAAGTAGAATTAAAATAACCTTGAGTACATGCTAAGAGAACCATGTTTATTATGAAGATCTACATTGCTTGATTATTATCATGAGATTGTAAAATTTAACTGATTACTTGTATGCACATCTGAATTGTCCCTTTACTTTCAGAACCAAAGCGTACTCTTCATTGCGTGAGGTAGGCAGTTCTTTCTTATTGCATTTTGCATCTTGTAAACCATACCCCAGCTCTGCTTGTGCCATCGCAAACAGCTCTGTTGAGCAAATTGTTTTAAAAGAATGTATGGGTTATACAATTAGTCCATGTAAGAATTTCTCATGTGTAACATGACTGTAAACTTGCTAATGATACTTTGCACTTCATGCTTCTCCAATTTCTTAGTTTGAATTTCATTGTGAAGCATACTAATGAACCTCATTTATTTATTGTATCTCCAGTGCCATTGTTAACTACTTAAAATTCAAAGCATCAAGGGAGCATATTTATGAAAATGCTGCTGCAGAAGTGGTGAGAATCATTAGTATACAGTTCTAAAAACTACATTCTGATGTTTCGTTAGTTTGAGAAACAGACGTCTGATTTATTAGTTTTTCTATTTGCAATTTAATTTACTTGCTGTAACCTGATTAGGTTCATCCTTTAAGCACAATCACATTCCATAAAGTTCTATTTCTGGTGTCCAAGGTTTTCTGTGTTTCAAAGTAAGCCAAAAATTTTGGCTGTTTGAAGGCCTAAGCTATCCGTTTTTGGACTTTGGTCAACCGTTTAAATTTTTTGCCATCCGTTTAAGCGGTTATGGCATCCTGTTAAACGCTCGAGTTAACCGTTTACTATCTGTTTACAACCGTTTTTCGAGACCGTTTAACGAAAAAGCGTTAGTGTCCGTTTTCCTGTGGAGGGTCACAAATGTTTTTCCACTTTGTGCATGTAATTTCATTGCAGCTAATGCATGGACGTAGCAAAGATGGGTTGTTTGCAACAAAAAATTGCATGAAAATTTTTTTTCTTCAACAATTTGTTTTCTTAATAATTATGATTCCACGAAATCTAGGATTCAGCTACTGAGCAGCGACAACATTTGCTCACAAGAAATGAAGAACTGAGGAAAAAGATTTCAGAACTCAAGTAGGACAACATATTTTATATCTTATAAACACTTACTTGTGTGAGAAATAATTAAGAGATGTGGTTCAACCATTTTGGATCAGCTGATATTGAAACAATGGTTGTTTGACATGCAACTCATAGTTGTATGTCCTGTTCAAACCACTATACTGAAACAGTGTGGTAACAAGTTAGTGGAGTTAATTTGAAAAGTATCTATTATTATTATTCAAGGTTGTTGATTTAGTTTCAATACTACTGTAACAATGAAACTTATTGTCTGATTTCTTTATCATAGAACAAAACGAGCTGAGGAAGAACAACAATTACAACAGGTGATACTATCTTGAAGTTGTTGTAGAGTTTGGTTTTGCATTTCAATTATAATATAAACCACCCCTGTGTTAAAATTTGATGTTTTTTTTGTTTGTTTGTAACTAGCTTGGGAGTGAAGTGGAAGAGCTACAGCATGATGTCAGTGAACTGAATAAACAACAGGTATATCAATAGTGAAATTTTTATTGGTTCATTTTCAGTGTTCTCATTTTCAGGTGGCAGCTATTACAATTCACCACATGTAGTACCTCTCAGGTACACATGAATGGATCATTCTACTGGTTTTAAAATGTCTTTTACTCGTTATGCTTAAAATAAGGGAGAACAATGCATTTTCAAGACGACTCTTGTCACTTTATGACAAAAAACACTGGAGCACCTATTAACTGCTGTGTTGACTTTCCAAAGGCCACTGAGGTGAAGAAATTTCAAAAACTGAAGACCAATAATGCAGAACTCTGTTCAAAAAAGGTAGGATTTTTTATGATGCATGATTTTGAAACCATGAAGGTACATTGCACTGTACATGCATGTCTTGTGTATTGAATTGTGCTACAGGCTTTTTTAAACACCTTGTGAAACGTGTACACAGTATTTGTACGGGTAGTAAAACATGATTATACTTGTATTTTCCCCTTTTTAAGCTCAACTGTACATGTATATTGCCAAAATCCTTGTATAAGGAAAAATTTTAAGCAAGCTACTAACCAGAAATAATTTCCAGCTACATTATATACATTGATGAGTTGCATGCTTCTAACAGTACATTCTCTCAAGACTTCAATTAAACATGTTGAGAATTTACAATCATTTCAACAGTTGGAAAACATTTTGATTGTGCTTTTTTTACAACTGTTTTTAGGCTGAGGAAAAAGCATTGATAGCAGCTTTGAAGCAAGACACAGATAATCTTGCAGCAAAGATAGTCCAGTCACCTGAGAGATTTAAAGGGGTAATAATAATTATAAACTGCAAAAAAAAAATTTGATTTTTTACAGGTTTAGTTACTTTGCACTCTCAGTAATACCCAACACATGATGTCCTGTGGGTTCTGTTTTGTTTTTGAAAGGAGCTGGCTCGTCTTATGAGTGCATTGCAGTCTGTGAGGGAAGCTAGGGATGAAAGAAGTGCTAGACTACAAGAGATTTGCACACAGCAAGATAGCAACTTGCAGTATACAGAGGTTGGTTCAAATAAAATGTACATGGTATTTATTTTTTTGTTTCATCTTTAACACTTGATCAATGCCTCAGTCCTTCTTGTCATCATACAACCTATTTATTATAAATACGCCCATAAAATAAGGCATGCATAACTGCACTTGGCACTTACAACATACTATAACTGTCTAAGTGATATTCTATTAAGGGAAAAAAGGAGGACGCACCTGGGTGAGGAGAGGTGCTTATTTTAAATTTGGGCCGATAGGAGAAGCTTGGGAAGGGCAGTGAATTACAATGTGGAAGAGGGGTGGAGGCATAACACTAGCTAATTTTTCAGCCTTTGTGATCAGCATCTTTGAATTATGAAGTCTATGATTTTATTTACATGCTAGATGAATGCTTCCTTTCATTTCCCTTTACCTTCCAACAGGATGGCCAGACAGCCATAAGAATGATCAGTGGGATTGGTGGCGACATGGATAAACTGCGGTACATTATCTGTCTTTCTACTTAACTTCTACTGGGTGTATTCATTAATATTGTGCAATGATTTTTGATCTTGTAGCCTGTTGAGTATACAGATGTTCTTTACTTGACTCTTTGGTTTGTTTTTATTTTGGTAGTGAGTTGACCTCCAAGCTTGAGGAACTTCAAGATAAAAACATCAGCCAAAAAGAGTTGCTGAGAGATATGACAGCCAAGATAGAGGTAAAACGTGTACAGCTATTAAATTTTTACAGTGTATCATTGAGTGAATGAAACATCAAGGTTTTTATTGACAAGCTGTACATGTAGCCTCAGTTTTAATGAATTTAGAGTCAAAACAATTTCTGTGCTGTCTTTATACAAGTTTAAAATTTTGATTATTGTTTTGTTGTCCTGTTTTATAGTTTATCTAGATGTGATCTACATGTAAATGTACATTTGCTATCATTCTAGAAAAAAAACTATACATTAAAGTAATTTATAAAGCAACTCTAATTTTCAGCAACTACGCCGACAGCTAGCCTCCAAACAGGAGAAGCTTTCCAGACTGATGAGGCAGCATGATAAAAAGATTACTGCGACGCATGATGCTAATGATCAAATTAAAAGGTAAAAGCTTTTAAGAACCCCTTTGTGTTTTAACCTTTTCCACCCTAACATCAGTAAGTACATTCTCCTAACTGTTCTCTATACATTTGCCATGGTGCTGAGAAGGAGAATTTGTTTAACAATCAAGAACATCTTAAGTTGGTGATCATTTCCTTCATTCTTGTAACCTTGAATATTGGTTCTGCTTGATAAAATTATGGTAAGGAGAAGTAAGATGTAATAAATATGTGTTCATTGTTCATCGTGGTGTAAGACAGGAGATCAACTTTATTCGTTTGTCTCACAATGGAGTCACTTTGGATGTTGATCATGATGTTTCAACTCCAGTACTGCTAATCTTCATCAGGCCAGAAATAAGATACTTGTTTCTTTTGGGGTTAAAGGGTAAACCCTTTAACTCCCATGTGTGACCAAGACAGAATTTCTCCTTACAATATCAGTACAATATCAACCAGATAAGTGATGAGAATAAAGAAAAATATCAATTTGGGAATAATTATTTGATTCAATACTAAATTCTCTGAACTAACATCATAAGAATTGTATGGTTGACAGTAAGGAGAATTACATATTTTATCTGGGAGTTAAAGGGTTAAGAAATTGCAACTGATAGATTCTTTTTCTTTCTTATGGACTGCAGTGCCTGTAGTTACATGACAGGGATAAAATACATCATTGGTAATTGATCATTTCAATTTAATCCATCTTTCAAGGGAACATGCATACTTAGAAAAGAAATTAACAGAAAAGAAAGACTACCTGGAAGGAATCAGCAACCAGATAAATAATTTGACACAAATGGTCAGTATCCTCCTGTTTTGTATCAGCATTTAAGTTCACAGTCAACCAAACCAGTTAAATATTATTTTACAAACAAGACATATACATGTATACCTGTGAATGATTGTCTTCTTAATGTTCTATTGGAATCTTTAGGTAAATGAACAGGAGGATCTTCATGAACAAGACATGAACAAGCTACGCACAGCATACCAACAGCTGTTAGCTCAGGTACGGCATTACTGTACATGCTCAGTCATGTCAAATATTTCCTACAGTGAGTGGTGCTGTAATTCTCTTGTCTAACTGAAATTCATTCCCTCATTGATCAGTTAAGATAATTGAACGTTTGATCAAAGGAAGAGCTTGTTTTCAGAAATCATGTATTTTCCATCTCAACCAGATTATGAGCTCCTGATTTCTACCACTTGGGCAAAGCCTAAGTCAACTTGAAATTAACAACTTAACAACACATCATGCTTATGTTTTTATTTTATGTTGTCCATAAATGCACTCTGTTAGGCTACTCATTTTAATTACTATCTTCCGTGCATTTCGTAACAGACACCGAGTTACATAGCCGATCAGAGAGCAGCGTTTGTGTTCAAGGATTTATACAAATAGAGTACAAATATGAATAGAATGACTTTCAGTACATTTTGAGACACCAAAAAGTAGATGAGCCTTTAAGAAGTTGTCTTCTTATGCGTTAAAAATTCATCTATTGATGATGCCATTTTCAATCTTGCTCAGCAACCTGGCTACTCTGATCTGACCGATAACAATCTCGCTCATTTTTTTTCCCATCTCCGTGTTTGAGTGACAAACTCAAAACTGAGAGGCTGGAATATTGTCATGTCTACTTTATGTTATGAAATCCCGGCTTCTTAACAATAAAATTAAATGACCAATTTTTGATACCATGTTTAAGAAAGCAAACGTACACTGATGTAAGTTTGTAGTGCTATTTTGGTTCTTCTAAAAATAAAGACATTGTTTTGAGCCACCTAAGGTTCTGTTGGTATATTCAATCATTTTCACAACATTCTTTTTCAAACTTGTTTTCAGCTTGAAAGCTACCATCAAGGACTTAACAGAGGTTGGGATAAAGTGACGAAAGCCAACAACAGATAAGCTGTATAGTAATGATCTGTTCAAAACAGCGCATAAATCTTTGAAGTTGGAGTTGTTTCTAATTGTTTTAAAACTTCGTATAGCTAGTTGTAAGTGGCGGGTAGTAATGTCTGTACCCAGACCAGCTTAATTCGAAGAACTGTGCCCATGTTAAAGAAAGCTAACAGTGCAACCATTTTGAATTACAATTGCGCAAGAAACATAGCGCTGGAAAGAGCTACAGTGTGTGATTCCGCGACTATCACTTTTCAAATGACCACTTGCACATCTGTAGGAATGTCTCTTCCGCAAATTGTAGCTGAGAAGTACAGGGTTCTGTACTTAACTTCAGTCTATAGGGAGAAAATATTGTAGGTACATGTATCTCTACCTACCTTATTATGTATTATGTCATATTCCTACGGATTTACATCTATGTAACTCAGGATTTTATGTAAGACGTGGAAAGCTCTAAATAAATAGAGTTCAGTAACTTCTCTTTTAGTTAAATTTTAATGATTTTGGTCCAGGTGGAACCTACAACTAGAAACACACATTCTTACGTCTGTTTTTTTCCTAACCAAACAATGTAAAATAATGATCACTAGGTTACCTTAGTTATTTGCAATTATCGAGTCTTAGTCAAGCGCCGACTAGACGCCTAGAACATTCATTAACTGTTCAAAAAATAACCTCTGGAAAGCAGGTCTCTTTGAGTTAATTAGCAAGTTGCAAGATCTATAATAGCAAGGCCTTACCTCACATGAAATATTGCGTGCAGTCTTGACTGTAGCCTCGTACTGCCACAGTTGTCAACCTTATTCACTCAACGCATGTGTGGCAAAGGAAAGAATTTCGATTAAAACTGACCCTTTTGAGGATAGCATGTCTAAGCATTTATTTAGAAGACACTGCTCTCGTAAGTATCGGCAAAGTTGTTTTTATTGATTGTCTGCTTTAAACTAAACTTGACGTCTTATTTTAGCCTTTCTCGTATACTAATAACTTCTATAAAGTGCGAATTACGTACTTGTTTCAAAAATGGCAGAATCAGTCTTGTTCCAAAATGGATCCCAGAGCGTACGTCATTTTTCTGCACGCACGTGCGAAGAATCAATGGAAAACGAGAATACTAATACGATTACTACGATGCTAATTATTTGAAAGATTCCGAATACAATAATAATCGTCACGTCCACGAAACGCTGTCCGCGTAACTTGCGTAAAACGACGTTTGCGTTCACATGTTCACACGGCATGAAATTTGATTCGCTGAAGATTGAAAGCCGCGTGCGGCAGTTGCACGTAATGTTGCGTGTGGTTCGCGCGGCGAAAGTACCTTATGTCAAGTAGTGCGGAGGATGAATGCTATTTTTACTTTGACAAGATTGCATAATATTGCCTACTGTAATTTTACGATTTACTAGCTTCAACAAGAAATTTGGTCGATCCGGTCAATAGTGCGATGCTTATCTGGGCTTGCATATTCTATTAAAGCTGTTGCAAAGATCTAATTTTTCCGCGCATTTTTTTGCCACACGATTGGTAAGAGAATGTCTAACTACGCAACTATATGGTAAAATTTTAGGTTATCTGTATTACCACCGATAGCCTAAACAAGGACATTGAGTCCCTGTAAATATGTTTGTGTGCCGCAACAAGTTAAGAAAAAAAAGGGTTTGTGTGGATGTGAACAGGCGCACTCTTGACTCAAAAATCTGAATAAGTTTTTAATAAAAACAAACTCGCCAAGCTCACTGACGTACCCTGGTGTAAGAATTGTATAGAGGGAACAACAGGAGAGCTAAAAATGAGCTAAACGAACATAGATCAGCCTGGAAAACTCACAAGATTCAAAGTAAACACACGGAAGTAAGTTTGTTTATATCTATTTATAAACATTTTCACCTATTCAGATGGGCTCATTGTGCGAGCTTGGGCTGTCTGTGGTAATATACCACGATTTCTATCCTTTTACTCGTTTATTTCCTTTGTTTTTAAAGGCTTAAGATGTTTCCAAGGACCTTTTTGTGGCAAGTGTGTCACTGATATTAATAACTGACCTTGTGCAATAAGATTAAAAAAAAAATCGTGCGCGAAAATTCGCAAAAGATCAGTGACCAAATTACCGCCTAATAGACCTATAATCGCATTCTCATCATCATTTTTTTTTTAATTTAACCTCATAATGAGGAAAAATTATTGAAGCTTCTGCGATGCGTGATAAAGTTCGTCATTGTTAAATAAGATTAGTCAACAGCCAATCGGAAAGTAGTCCAAAACCCTTACTGTTAGTTGCATACCGATCTATGACGTACTTCAAAGTGCTATATAACAGCTGCTAAGAGCATTCTTACGATAAATTGTACATCAAGTCGGAAAGACTTTAACTTGAAGAACTTTTAGAACTCTTCATCTTGACTTCCTTCGCAGGCAGTTCAAGGTAAGTTTTGAATTGCCGAATTTTCCAATTTCCAGAAACACGAATTGTTAAATCTTATAGGAACTAGGAACTTGAAAATTATTTGTTGAGAAATCAAGAAAACTGCAATGATAAGCGAAAACTGTATGACGATAAACTCGTATCATAATCAGCTGGGCAAGTTTGTCAGCAATCATTTTCCATAAAATGGAGGTAAATATTTACCCTATTGCAACCAAAAATATCGGCTAGCTGTTACAAACTCGGAGTAAATTGTGGGGCTGAGACGGCATCAGCACAGAAAAGAAAGGCAATTGATGGAACGAGGTGATTGAGTTCGTGAGTGCGTCTTGTATACTGAATGGAAACTTGACGAAGTCAAGGAAAACATAATTTTTATGATAGCTTTTGTTACTGTAGATATCAAACTTGTAGCTTGGATGCCGCTCACTCTAACAATTTGAAAGAATTGATTAAGTTGATTAGATAACGCTCAGGTGCATCCTTTGGTTGAATTACTTTTCAATCGCTACCGCCTATTAGCGACCTCATGAGCCAAAAAAAGATCAGTGAATTTTTAATGAATACTCCCAGACAAGTATTGTTTTTGTCTGGTACAAGGAAAACACCGTAAAGTACGGGATTATAGCTTCGTTAATGAGAAGATGCACAAAGCTTCTGTATTTTATTAGGTTGAGAATATCTTTTTGAGGTTGAAAATATTATTTTATTGCGGAGCATTTCATTCAGGACAGATCGCTTAACTTTACACAAAATGTTTGTTTGGTTTCAAAGTGTAATTCAGCTTTAGTGCTTGCGTAAGGGTTTTCATTGGAAAAAAAAAGAAGAACTAATGCACTATCGTCTTCAATTACTCTTGCCTGATTATGAAAGAAATGTAAAGACAATTGCAATCACAGTTTTGCTGTTGTTTCTTTCCCTTATAGTAGTAATGCGAATAGTTAGATCAACAAATAGATTGAAAAGCACTCCAGGTCTCTCTTGATTTCTAAGCTGTTGAATCAGATACTGCTTTGAGGTGTTTCTGATACTTTCTTGGTTCTGCGGATTGTGCGATTGCCAAGTGACTTCACGATACAAAAGACTGAACAATGCAAAGGAAACTTATCAATTTCCTCACCTCAAGACAATAGTCAACCAAGAATAGTTTCCGCACCTTAAGGAAACCGCTGCTTTTGGTTTGCTCCGCTGAAATGAAGTCGACATGGATTGTTCGTTTTAATCGCGTGCTTATTAATTTCAGTTTTTGTTAACTCGATTTACTTCTAAGATTGTAGCGACCAACTGTTTCACGGTTGAAATGTGTCAAACTTCCACCCATTCGATCTTTTCCGCACCCGATTCAGCGCTCAAACAGGTCTTGTTTCCTTAGAGTTAAAGATTAAACATCAAAACTTTCATGAACATGATAATAAACTAAATATTGGCAGCGAATTAGCGCACTTCACTTTTTTTTTTATAATGGTAAGATTAAGATAACCTTAATATGTCGATATTTCGCATCTGTCTATCGGCGGTGGCCTTTCGCTCGTTCATTTCAGGACGTTTGGACAGGACATTTTAAGTTGTTTGGGCAGAAACGATTCAGCGAGTCCTTTACAAAAGAGAAATTTGTGACCGCCGTAAATCTCATGCATACCTAAGACTTTCTAGAACCGCCGGTTACTACAGAGCGGGCTTCAAGGCACACGCAAAACTGCCAGTGAAAGAACAATTTGTTTCGGTGCAGAATTCGAGAACGTCAACAGACAATAGACCTAAGTAAACACACTTCTGATTGCACAAGAAAGACGTTAAAAGGTGCATTCACTTAAACCCCTGTGTAGGTAGGTCAAAACATACTTACAAAAGAAGCAGAAGTCTTTGGAGGAGAAAGCGTGAAGAATTGCTAAGACAAGGTAAGTATGCGATTGCCGGAAAACGCACTGTTTATGTTGAAATACATGATAGTTGCAAAGTTTTAAAGCGCCGGTTGCCGCAACTAAAGTTACTAATTTACTATTGTTTTCAAATTTGCATTGCTTTCATTTCATATAAATGACACTTTCAAGATTTTTGAAGAAAGAAAACCCAGCATTAACGATGAACTATACTCTTGACTTCAGTTGTTGAGTGGAATTGAGAGCAGATGCTTTTGTTCATGTTTTCTTCGCAGAATATCTGAAGATGCTTTCGAGACCTGGACTACAGAGCTATGCAGTCCAATTGGTCAAAGGAAAAGCCTTTCTTTTTTTGCTGCTCAGTTTTCTTGCAGCAAGAGGGCAGTGTAAGTATCCTCTGTTCTTCCTCGCCTTTTGTTTTTTTGAAGGAATAGAAGGCGATATAAGACGAAGTATGTTTGTGGGATATTGCAGACGAACGACACAAGGGGGAGGCTCGCGCGAGCCTTGCCACTCCCACGGTAAAATCAAACGTAAATAAGCCTTTTCTCACAAAAAAGCGAATGCTGTGACTTAACATAAATGTACAAATCGACATTGAATGGCATTTTAGTGAAAAATAATACAGAAGCTTCATTGAGAACAACACATTTCAATTTGGAACCGTTCGCTCGACTGAAGTTTACGAAGGTTTAATCTTAAGATAGTTGAGTAAAGAAACCTTCTTTAGCTTTTCAACAGTACTGTAACCAAAAAGGTCAGAGTGTTTTTGGTTTTGAAAATGTCCTCACTTGATTGAAAGTATTTTCCTTTTTTAGAAAGTAGACTAAGGTGAGAATTTCGCTCATGAACGATGGGACTAAGCCATCAAACTTGTGAAAACAGGTTGTTCAGTTTACCATTCTTCTAAGAATGAATATCTGTTAACAAGGCTAGAACCCTTTGCTATGGGCTAAGTTTTCATAATTTTACAAGCCCTTTGAATTTAAAATGTTTGCGTCAGTTTCTTTGGACTATATGAGCAATTTTCGATCTATGCCTAGAAACAAAACCTTGTGTAGTTTATCAGTCTTCTAGAAACATCTGTAACTAAGACAAATTAAAACCTTTGTGCTCGCTAACTGACATTCTAAAAGTATGTTGACTATTATGTTGATGTCGGTAACATGCATTGTTTTATTGTTGACTTTAAAAAGCAGCGAACTTTCTAGTAATATTTGTCTAGCTTTTTGTTTACTCATTCTACTTTTGCATGATATTTAGAAGCTAATTTTGTCTTATTTGTTCGACATGTTGGTGCATGTGCCACTAGCACATCGTTCTTGATCTTCTTTTGTTTGTTTCTTTTAATTAGTGAGCTAAGATATCAACCATTTTTTCTAGAAAAGTCTCAGCAAAAATAGCTTAGATGTAGGGAAAAGGTTTATTTCGTTAAAAGTATGTTGACTATTATGTTGATGTCGGTAACTTGCATTGTTTTATTACTGACGTTAAAAAGCAGCGAACTTTCTAGTAATATTTGTCTAGCTTTTTGTTTGCTCGTTCTACTTTTGCATGATATTAAGAGGCTAATTTTGTCTTGTTTGTTCGACATGATGGTGCATGTGCCACTAGCACACCGTTCTTGATCTTCTTTTGTTTGTTTCTTTTAATTAGTGAGCTATGACATCAACCATTTTTTTTTTCTAGAAAAGTCTCAGCAAAAATAGCTTAGATGTAGGGAAAATATTTATTTCCTTAATAGAATAACAGAGATTGTAAGTTTTGAGCTCGGTAAAGAAACAAAGAAAGATGTTTCTAGTCTTGTCACCAGAATTGTGAAAACATTCCTGGAGCTAACTCTTCCAAAGTGCTTCATTCAAATGGTTCCATAGATACACCTAACCCCATATTTCACTCGAAGACAACGTCAAGTTTTAGAATCTTCAGCTAAGATCAATTTATGTTCCTCAGGAGATCATCAAGTGTTCAGAAGTCAGCCCCTATATAGTATTTCAATTAACTTACATGTATGTTGCCTAAGTGTAATTTTTAACAGAGAATTGAAGGTCACGTTGGATTGTTTATGTTTTACTTTAAGTCGCTCTCTGATTGGTTCAAAAAACTCGCGCCACCCTCTTAACCAATCAGATTTAAAACCGAAAGCATAAAGGGGTAAGTTTCTGAAGAAACTGTGGTGCTGCGTCGGTGGGAGGGTATAGCAGGTAATTTAGTGTTAACAACTGAGTTGAAAACGTAAATTAGCCACCGTAAAGAGTAAAAAAGCTGACGTTTCGAGCGTTAGCCCTTCGACGAAGGGCTAACGCTCGAAACGTCAGCTTTTTTACCCTTTACGGTGGCTAATTTACGTTTTCAACCCAGTTGTTAACACTAAATTACCTGTTAAAACCGAAAGCATTCGCCTCTAATTTCCACGGGTTGTCCTGCACGTCAAGCAGTTTTCTGTTTATGCTTTTAGATCTCATTGGCTTATGAGGATCTTAATCTTTGTTCTGGTTGGTCGCTGTAATAACTTTTGTTATGGTTTTTAGACTGAAAACTGCCCCATAAATTAATTAACTAACTGACCCATTAGTTTGCTTGTTTGTTTTCAATAGCTGCAGCGGTCTCGAGGACAAGACGTGGTCTTCCCCTGAATACCTCCTTTCAGATTTCCATCCAATTGTCTCAAACACCATGGTCTGAAGATTTCTTCAATAACAAGAGTACCCAGTATATTTCTTTAGCAACGACCTTAGAGACAGCCGTTCTTAATGTCATTAAAATGGTCGGGAATGGAACGGTAAAAGTCCTAGAATTCAAACCAGGAAGTGTTATTGCTGTAATCAAAGTAACTGCGTCGAATTCAGATGAAACAGCTATGAAGACTAAACTTGAGTCAGAGATGAAAGACGGACAGCTCGGAGGATATTCTGTCGATCCTATTCTTTATTTAGGAAGTGTTTTCGATGTCATTCTAAAAATAAGATCTCCTTGCAATAATTCTTTACCAGATAAAGGGTTTCTTCAAAAAGATGAACTTGTCCAAACCGTGAGCAGTGAGATGTCTGGTAACGCTGACTTCCTCAATGCTAGCATCCATGGTATCGAGTGCTCTCAAGCAGACAACATCACATCGGTAACAACACGAGTTCAGATAAAGAATTCGTGGGCAACCAATCCATTTAAGGAATTGAGTGGTTTGAAGAGTCAAGTTGACGCTGGCAAGCTTAGTAGCTTTTCTGTGGTCCCTGAATGGAAATCTTACATCCCTGGAGAAAAAGTATTCTATGTACGTGTTACGCTACTGACTGCCTCTACCAATACTACGCAAACCAAGCAACAACTCGAGCAGTTTGTAGAAAACGACTTCAAAGATGACAGTAACATTAGGTATGTCCATGTTATCATGCCGGATAGCAATCATGCCGTTATGGAGATTGGAATGCGTTCTTCGACGTCACCGATTCTTTACAAAGCACTCTCTCCTATTGGAAGCGATCTTTCTAGAGCAAATCTTGGAAGTGTCAAAGTCAATAAAAGGCAGAACAGAGTCACCATTGACATGAAATCTTTAACGCGAAAAATATTCGAAGTAAGCTTCATCAAGTATGTTCCAAGCTGTGTTTCAGCAGATCTTTCGGATACCAACAGTTCGCATTACAAAGAACTCGGCCAAAAATTTACCCAGTTTATAGACACCAATATGAAAGCTCATGCGCTCAACAGTAAGTTTTACTTGAGTAATGAGGTGATAAAACTGCAATGTAAAAATTCTACATCAGTCAAAGGCTATATCTACGTGTACATGAAACCCAGCACTGAAGATAAGATAGCAAATTTAAACGGGGCTTTGTACAAGTGTTACACAGAGCGCGGTATTTACGACAATGGATTGAAAATATCTCTTAGAACTCCAACATCGCCAGAGGCAAAGGGAACGTGGTCTTGGTCCCTAGACGGCGTGTCGTTAACTCGTGGCTCTTGTTTAAAGCCAAAGCCGACCAACCCGACCAACCCGACTAATGGACCTGCACCAACTACCGGAGGTACAACCACAGGCAGACAAAGTACTACCCAAGCTTCAGGCAAACTAAGTACTTCCCATACAACAGGTAAACCAAGTACTACCCAAACTACTGGTAAGCAAACTACAGCCCAAACCACGAGCAAGCCATCAACCACACCTTACTACCCTAGCACTAAGCCTCAACATTCCACAACCACTAAAACCCCTGTTAAGTCAGAATCCACAGTCCCACAAACCACCGAAATCATACTTCCCACGTTACCCTCAGAAATAGTGTTATACGCCAAGGTGAAGCTCGAAATGACATGGGAAGAATTCTGCTCAAAGCAGGATTCTTTCAAGGAGATAATTGCGTGGAACGTGCGCGATAAAAACGACTCCAGGATCTCCTCCGACAGAATAATTTATGTCAATATGGAGCGAAACTGTGCGGACCCAAGAAAAAGGGAAACACAAGCCGAGGTGTGGTTTTACGTGTCTGAGCCGGACTCCACACAAATTAACGAGTATCTCACTTTCAAGCTTTACAGCCTTTTTAAAATGTTCTTTGACAACGGAAACACCAAACAGCTGGGATCGGAGTTTGAAGAAAAGGTATTTCTCAAAGTAATTTTGTTATCTTCGAAGACAAAAAAGCTGTGTCCACCAAAGGAGGCAGAGCAGATATCTCAACTCTATATACTCTCACAACCTCTTCTCTCCTTTCCTTATAGTGGCGGAAGGGGAAGTGGGTCAGTGGATAAATCCCTTTTTTAAAACTCAGATTAAACTTGTCTTTTTTCTGGTTTATAAAGAAATGTTGGAAATGTGGCAGATTATTGTTTTGAAACTTGGTTTGTTCTCTACAAGCTGAACGTTGGGTAATCTCCGCTCTTAACGAACTGTCTTGACTTTACCAGCCGAGCTCATTATTATGTTTATCATTATTATTTCTTTTCGTATCATTTTACAGGTTTTGCATGTAGAATTAGGTGGAAGTCATGCCGCTCAATACGAAAAGGATTCAGATTGTAAATGGCCGTTGTGGCTGCTAATCCTTCTAGCCGTGGCTGGAGCCATAGGATTGTTTCTTATGATACTGGCATGTTGTTGTGTAAGTTAAGTTTCATTTATTTACCCATTTATTAGTTAAGTTTTTTTATCCATTTTTTTTTTCTTCAATTTATTCAATTATATCACTGCTGGCTTTAATCAGATCTTTTCCAAAATATTCAGACTGCTCTTCCAAAATGTGAATATGAATCTTCTTTTTTGTCATCTGATGAAGCGTTTACACTAATTCTCCAACGAATAGTTATGAGAAAAAAAAAATTGTATTTTTTGGATGTATTGTTTCCATTACAGCTATTTTGCTGCGGGGGAAGACGGCGTAGAAGAAGGCGGAAGTATGATTCGGAACAGCCTCAAGCACTTGTGGTTGTCCATGTTGATGGCAATGGATCTGTACGCTATGAACAGAAAAACGGCAAGCACAACAACTCTGAAGTCAGCACTACGAATAAGCAAAGAGGCGATGAAAGAAACCTTAAGGGTGTTAGCGAGAAAGAGGGATATTACAATGATGGGTTCGTTTCTGATGCAAAAAACAAGGTAAATGCTCATGAATACAAAACTTGCAAAAGGCCGCTGTTATTTTTGCTATCAAGCTTCTTCCGCTAGTGAGGGTTCAGATTGGTTCTGATCCTTTGAGATTGTAACGAATTTAACTTATGATAGAAGTAAACTAGCTCAACAATCTAACAAGATTAAGCAGAACTAAACAGCAGTAAACAACAAAGAGATTAAAACATTGTTCCTTAGCAGTAGCAGTAGTACAACAAATACCGTTTTTGATATATTTTCCACTTGTCTTACATCTTTTTTTTCTATCCTAAAAGAAAGAAAAACAAAAACAAGAACAAAGAAATACTTCAAAAAATATTAAATCTTTGTCCTTTCCTCCGGAATAACACAGAATCACGATGGGAATGACAACCGCTCCAATAATGAAGGAGAGGAAGGCAAGTCACCTCAAAACATAACCAAAAGACTCAGTGATGGCTCTGAAAATACTTACCAATCCTTGGACAAGGATGATGATCTCGGAGATTACACTTACCAAGCGATTGACAAGTCCGGGAGAACAACCACAGGCCAAAGTGATGACGACAAAAACAACAATCCACGCGCAACATTGGCTCCTTCGTCCGCTGACGGTATCCAAATCCTAAAAAGTGGTGATAATGGTTCTTCGAATATCAATTCTCGGCAAGCTGGTTTCAACGCATTACATGGGGCTGAAGTGATTCATTTCCCTTCCACAGGGAGCGAGAAGGTCACAGCGAAAACTGATGATGGAAAGAGTAGAAGTGATGGCTCCCCAGATCTCAGTTCTCGGCGAGTTGGTAACAACGTAACACATGTGGCTACAGTGATGGCCACTCCTTCCACCGGAGGTGATAGGGTCACACCGAGAGTTAGCGATGGAATGGGAAAAAGTGATGGTTCTTCAGATCTCATTTCACAGCGATCTGGTAGCTACATGTATGCTGCGCATGTTACTACAGTTACTACAACTTCCACCGGAAGTGATAAGGTCACAGCGAGTGGCAGTGATGGAAAGGGTGAAAGTTATGATTCTTCAGATCTCAATTCTCGGCGAGCTGGTAGCTACATGTACGCAGCGCATGTTACTTCAGTTACTACTTCTTACAGCGGAGCAGATAAAGTCTCAGGAAGGGGTGGCGATGGATCGAACAAAAGTGGTGGTTATTCAGATATCAATTCCTCTCGCGTTGGTTACAAGAAGGTTAGGAAGATAGCTAATGAATGCAACATTATGCAACATTCACCAAGGCACGGGAATAATCTAGTCAGAGCTAGCAATGCTTAGTTTTCCTTTGAATTTTCTGAATTTTGTCAGTATTTTTCTTTTGCCTTGAACGTCAAACAAGATTCGTTTCGTATCAGCATTTTTTATAAATGATAATTGATATTTCTTTTACGTCTATTGCCTCGAATTTTTTAGCTACTGCCGATGAAACGAAAGCATTATATAAAGTTAACAAGCCAAAGGAAATACTCTAAAGAAAACGCTACATTCCTTTTAGGACACGATAAATACCAGTGCTCCCGGATCAGGCGGAGGGAGCAAGGGGACCGGGGCGAGTGCAGATGATAACAAGAATAAGACTGCCGATGGTTCAAAGCCAGATGTCATTTCTTCCCGGGCTGGTAAAAACGGAGAGGTAAGGAAAATTAATTCAGGACGTGTTATGAACTATGGCTCTTGTCATTTGCCAAGACTGATTGGCCAGCTTCCCTTTGCGGGACAGCAAAAGAAAAATCCCTTGGTACTTGAAAGAAGTAACATGGGATTTAAAGTAGAGAACATAACAAACAATACCACCTTAATGAAAACTTGAAAACGTATATTAATTACATTTCAGCTGTCTGATTCAATATCTTCCTTCACGATATTTTTCTACAGAGTCAAGAGGGTCTTAATGGATCCAAGGGAAGTCCGACTTTGTTTCTTAAAACAGACACCAGTCCAAAAGACGGTGGAAGGAGGGGTTCGCGTGTCCGCTCATCTATCGATGAAGATGTACCGCTGACTCATAAAACAGGAACCGTCGGCATTGTGGCTCTGGCGATCAGGAACAAGAATGAGACGAAGAAGGAGAGAGAATTTAAGGTAAGAAAATGTATGCAGGATATGACCACTAATCGAATTGATGAAGTAATTTATTTCGAGCCTTTGCTTTCCCCGACTTTGCAGAACCTGGACAAAGACGTTCCTAAGGAAGACGTGAAGTATCCCCCAGATACTGCCAAAAAAAACAGATCGCCAGAGGTCCTGCCAGGTGGGTTCAGTATTCAGCGCTTTTAACTGTCCTTGCTTTATCATTTATAACTTATCGTTTGGAACGTCTTCTTTTGAAGCACCAAGAACTCGTGTCAAGTTATCAACTTCACCAGACTATATCAACGCTAACTGGATCAGGGTAAGAGATAGTGACATAAAATATCATTCAAATTCCGAGATTTTCAATCGATTGAATATCGACTAATCAATAGTTTGCCGATTTTTGTTGCCGGAGCAAGAAAAATGTTTTAAAGAAGTCAGACGAGCGAATGTGATTGTATATTGATCTTGAAATATTTTTTTGGCGAATTGTTATTCTTTTTTGCTTAATATTTACTCCATCGTCTTATTCGCTTTCCTTGAAGGACCATAAAGGGCAAGTCTGCTACATTGCTACCCAGCATCCTATGACAGAAACTGTCCGGGATTTTTGGCAAATGGTCTGGGACCAAAGAGTTCAAACGGTTGTTATGGTAAACGACGAAGAAAAAGAGAAAACGGTGAGACTGATTGTCACTGACAATGAATCATGATCAGGCTGTCGATAATTGGATAGTTTCACCAACAACATTTGATGCCAAATCAAAAACTACAGTCACTCTTTAATAGCACAGAACTGTAATACCGACCCTCTCCGTGTCGGATTTGTGTTAACAAGATTAAGTTTTTCATATCCTCCTTAGGCTGAATTTGTGGATTACCTTCCGAAAGGAGAAGGGATCTCTAAGCAGTTTGGCGGTTTCAACGTTACAGTTAAACAGATAAATGAAAAACCGGATTTTGTCGAGACTGTTTTGAGCATTGCCGATGGCAAGGTAAGAAAACGCTTTTCTTTTTTTTTACCCCATGTATTTTTCTATTTTCCCCGTTGTATAGAGCCTAAAAAATACTAACTGAACGTACTTTTTTTGTTTATCCACGTTATAGAATGTTGCCTCTTCACGCGAGGTTACACACTTGAAATTCACTTCGTGGAAAGAACGCGCTATGCCTAACGTGGCTCTGTTTGTTGGGTTCGTGACTGCCACGCAGGAAGCGAGGAAGAAGTATGGCGACACCAAGGCTCCAACCCTTGTACACTGCAGGTTGGTATTCGCAATGACATGAAATTCAACCATGATAATTACGTAGCTTTTCGCTGTCTGGAAAAGATCTTAGAGACATTAAAAGGAAACTGCATTGAGGATCTGTCGACTTGTGGTAAAAAAAAAGATGATTGGAGCGAGGGGTGTCCACGTACCTGACGATTGTAGCCAGAGCGAATATTTCTCACATGCATTTTCTCAAGTTTGAGATGCTTTTAGCGCTTTTCGATTTAGGATCGTAAAAAGCGAATACCAAAATAATTTCGGCGACCAGTTACGACACAGAAAATCCTTGCAGGGAGCAATCAGAACTTATAAGATGAATGCACGTAACCGTTCTAAGGTACAAGAACCTGTTTACGATTAGTTACATTACTTTGAATATGATCCCTTAGTTTCTGGGACCACCAAGCAAAGAGATCGAAGTGAAACACAACCCATGCGATTTTGCATTTCTCTCAGCGCTCATTCAGAAATTGGTCTTGACTAATGGGACTAAACAAAACTTTGCTTATCGTTCTTTCAGTGATGGCCTGGGCTTCACTGGTGTGTATATTGCTGTGGATATCGGCGTTAAAAGTCACGAAGAAAGTAAAACATCAGTTGTTGATGTGTTTGAGCTGTCCAAGAACCTCAGACGGGATCGCCATGGCATTGTTTGTACCTTGGAGCACTATAACTTCATTTACCAGGTGAGAAAAAAACTACAACAACGTTTTTTATCGCTAGTTATTGAGGGGAGTGAGACTAGAAGCATACCTTAAAGAAAGCTGGGCTAAGGTACGAGTTGAGTTCATCCTCTTGAGTTCTCTGCAACAAGGCGTTTTACTCTTGCTCTGCCCCTCTCGGACAGGAGTTTAAATAGTTATAACATTAGCAAATCGACAAATTGAGGAGGATTCTCTTTGTGCTTTGCTTTTGCGCATCGTTAGTCTACAGAATAGTTTAGTGATAAGAGGAAATGAAAAAGTCCTCCTTACGATAATTTGTGCAATGACGATTGTGAGCACTAGTTTTTTAATTACGCGGGGAACTTGTGGTTGAAGCTAATAAATGCATTTCTTTTCAGGCTCTCTACGAGTACACTGTGAACTACGACAAGTCGGCTGAGGTAAGCTGTTTTGCCATAATAGTAACGCGTGCCACTTGACTAAACAGTCAGTTGTAGGACTTATTGAATCTTTTTTAAAGAATTTACACCGTTTCCCCCAAAGGAGAAACATTGTTTTACTAACACTGAGAAATTATGTTCGATATGTTGTCAGGAATTTTACGTCATTTGATGAGTCCCTACCGTCGTAATCTAGTGAGAGCGTTTTCAAAAAGGTTTAACAGCCTTTGATGTCAAATTTCTTCGATTTAATTTAATATTCATTTCGGTTCAGGATGAGTACGTTTTCTCGTGTTTTTCTAATTCTTTACCCTATTAATTGTTTGTTTTTCTTTTTTTCCTTTTATAGTAAGGCTTTGGCTCTGAACTGTTGGGTTGGAAAAGAACTGAAAACTAATAGTTTCATCCTCCAAACTGACGAAACAGTTCAATTTAAAGACACGGCACAAATATATAAGAAAGATACAGTAGCATTCAATTCATAGAGAAACATTTCCGTAAGTTTTTCAAGTTTGATTGACCAATCGCCTAAATTGCACATGAGTCCATTTTGTCTTTAAAACTTCATGAAAAACCATGAAAATGTTTTTAAAATTACGCATGACATGATGACCAGGTAGTGTCTGCACATTATTATTATTTTTTCTTTTTTTGATGCATGCAGTATTTTTATCATTTAGTTTTCTCCGCTATTCTGCTATTTGGCATCAGCATGTGTGTAGAGAATGGTTCGTTTCTAAAAATCCTCTCGCTGCATTATACAAACCTGCGCGGTTACACCAGGTTCTCAATAGTAGTTCTTAGAGTCAAGTGAGTGAAATCACTATTCTTCGAGGCAGAAAGATTGTAAAGTACTATGCCGTGAAACTGCTCGCTTTGTATATCTGCATGACATAATAAAAACAAGATTTTTGATGCTTGTAAATAGTAAACTTTTTTCATTAAAACTATTTCGATAATGGAGCTTTGAGTAATTGTTTATGCCTTCCTAACCCGATTCCTCCCCTGCTTGTTCTGACAGATTTCTAAGTCGAGTTATGTACGGCCATAATTACAATTAAAACGTGCCGGCGGAACAAATATTTACAAATGCCGGGCATCTCGACAGAAACAACATCATTCGATAACTACACGTTGGTCTTTCTTGGACATGCCTAGACATAACTTGTCATCTAATTGGGTCACAATCTTTACAGTCATTACGATTTTGCGGAATTATTTCAAAGATCTACTTGCACGCATAAGGTAAGACTTTGCTTTCAAACTTTGCTTGAAGGCATTCATAAAGACTTTGTCAGTAAGCCGGTTGGTAACGGGGAGTAATTATAATAGCAGGGGGCGATAAAGGATGAGGGTTTGTTATGACTACATCTGTGCTGTACGCTTTCCTCTAATTTTTTTTTTATGCGCTACGAACAGGCTAAAACTAGATATCCGAAACAGTATAAAGATCTAATGTAGAGAAAAACTAACTTGACTCCATTGAGTGGAGTGTAAGTGGAGCAAGTTGAGAAACCGGCTGTAGGAGGGAACGAAATAAAAAATGTAAACTTTTCACACTCAGTCAGTCTACGCAGTTTTATTTCTTATCGGATATCTCTCGGTTAGATGTTTAGAAAAACTGGCTAATATTAAATCGTCTCCCGTGCGTTAAAAGGTTTTAACATCCGCGACCTTTCTAGAAGAATATTTTCACACATCAATTATCGCACCCACAATACCAAGGGTTGCTTTGGTAAACAGAACACAGTAAATTAATTATGCAGGCAATTGTTTTTGTTAAAGCAAAGTAAACTCACTATCTCTGACAAAAAGTGTAGGCACTTCAGCTTTTGCACCCCGTGAGCTTGCAAAGGGAACGGAACTCTTGAAGAAGAAAAGGAATTCTACTTGAAAGTTGCCGCGAGGTAAGATATCTCGCTGCGTCTTATAATCAAAAAAAGAAAAAGATTGGTGTTAAGTTTTGTTGGAGTAAACTTGTGTCGTTTTTAATTAAAATCTTTTGTAATCTTTTCCTTGTCTGAGGTATCTCAGATGAGCAATTTTGTTATTAAAAACTTCAATTCCCTCTGTTTTTCAAATATTTAGTGCCCGAAGGGATTACATTACTATAACATGAAGCTCTGTCTCAAACAAAGCACTTTTTCCTGTTCCAGCTCTCGCGTTCTCCATCATGACGGTGTGGTTTTCGAGGCAACCCAGCTATTCAATTGAAACCACATTAAAGTTGGTGTTTTCTGTTGTCACCGCTGCTACTATGGTGAACGCTCAAAGTAGGTACAAATATATTTAAGGAGGAAAGTTAAAATGATTTGGTAGTTTTAGTTTAAAACTCTTTCGCGACGAAAGATCTACCTCTGTTCTCGTTGCCAGGACAATAACAGTAAATTAACGTAAACTTGAGAAAAAGAAAACAATGGAAAATAAACAACAGGTGAATAGCAGAGACAAGAGAAACTTATTAACTTTTGTTCAGAACATTTTAAAACTTCACTAACTTCTCAAAAGTCATTTTTATATTTTTGGCGCTCAGACGTCCCGGATAACAGGCCGTTGCATCATTGTCTTTTTTTTTTTTTTTTTTTGTCTGTCATGTCTTTCCCAATGATAGATTTTAGGAGGGGCGGATGTTTATAGACAACTGAACAATGGCCGCATGTTTGGCTAGAGAATGTGGTTTGTATAGTGCAATGCACTGCACGGCTCAAACTATCACATAAAATGAGTTTGATTTGTTAACTCGGTGTTAAGGAACAGTGCCACTTCTTTACGCTGGAAATGTATCTCTTTTTTTGTTTCTTTTTGTTTCAACCCTTTATATTGATTTGATCCAGTTGCTTTTCCGCAGCAGTAGCGAATGGTAGTTTCGAGGACTCCCACAGCGTTGAGTCTACTGCTTTAAAATCCGAAAACCGACCAATCCTAATGATACTTTTCATCATTACCGTTGTTTTACTCAGAGTAATGCAAGGAACCATAGAGACAGGAAAATGTTCCTTTAATATTGCGATTTCCTCTTTTGCCGGTTCGAGTTTGGCCTTATTTTAACTTCTCCACCACAATAGTTTCAAACTTGACATGTATAACACATACTTCTGTCGCTCACAACGATACCTCAGAGCTCCTCTACCTCCTTTGCTCTAAAAGGAAAAAGCTCAGACTGTGAAAAACTCGAAAGAAATGCGAGATTTGGTGCCTTATGACAGAAACATTCGAAAGCCAGTGGAAACAGACGATATTTCAAGATAGCTAAAACTTTTTTGCGACACCAATGTTTGGCTTCTGGCTTGTGCAAAATCGCAAATAGAATTTAAGTATTTAGACCAAGTATTGGATGTCATTTGAGACAATTTTAAATTTTATTTCTTTTCCAAATGCGTTGAGATTTGAAGCTTGTCACTGATAACTTTTAATTTAATATTTGGGTATAAAGGATAACTTGAAGATTAAAATGACATCGCAGCGTTTCTTCCCGCGCACTCGAATTCTTTAAAAATTAAACTTTTCTAACAACAACTGAACCAAAGAGCTCTTAAAAGACCCACAACAGAATTATCATTTTGTCTAATTGAAGATAATTCTAGAACCTGAGATTTTTTCTGTTTTATGTGTTTTTCTTATTTAGTGACCATGTTTATATTTGCATTCAATGACGTATTTTTGAAGTATGTTTAAATTGCTCCATGATGTAAATTGTGACGTGTGTTTTGTTATAATTACCTCAACAACACGCATTTTGCTACATCCGTCGAGTCCTCCTTGAATTCAAAAGGAGCTAGGTTACTTTCTTTACGTTACTGGAAAAAATAAAAAAACAAAATAAGGAATGACCTTGTCATGGCACAAATGTTTAGAGCCATCTTAAATACGTTTGGTATTCAGGAAGTTTTACACGCCTTGAATAATCGAATCTTGAGAATGCTAGGTCTACGGTCGGTTTCAAGAGTAAACTCGTTGCTAAGGTAACCTATTGATGAAGTAATTTTTATCAACTATTTTCTCCTCATAACATATTCACCATCAATGAACTTTAAAAAATAACTTTAAGCCTGTTCCAGGGTGATCAGTTGAAGGGATGAGCGAAAAAGCGGGGTAAAACGAATGACAAAAAATGATGGAGAACTAAGAAGAGCGAAGGAGGGTACCTCGTCTCTTTCCCTTCGCCCCAAATTTGTAAATGCTTGTCACGCCTTTGTGTTTCAACGCACTCCTGTGCCAGGAGTGTGGCACAGGCTGGGTATTATTGGGTATAATTCATGGTACTCGAAGAAAAGAGACAATGATACAAACTTAGTATTATTGCCTCATTCCTTTTTTAACAGCTGCCTCCATAACCCTAACTCCAACCACAAGTGTTCTGTCATCGGGTGTTAATTCCACTTCGCCCACGGAAACAGTTGCCTCCATGACCCCAACGCTAACAACAAGTGTTATGTCATCAAGAGTTAACTCCACTTCGCCCACGGAAACAGCTGCCTACATAACCCCAGCGCTAACAACAAGTGTCATGTCATCAAGTGTCAACTCCACTTCTACCACGGAAAGTCATAACATCACTTCGTTTCAAGTGATGATTGAATTCGTAGATATCACTTGGAATGATAAATTTCTGAATAAAACAAGCGATCAACACAAGAGCCTGGATTCTAACGTAACCAAAGCTGTAAAAGATGCACTCAGAGTTGAAAATGTGAACTCGACTGTCCATGTTATCGAGTTCAAACCCGGAAGCGTGTTGGGGTTTTTCAACATCACAGCAATGAAACCAGAAACAGAAGTCAAGGCGGCCCTAGGAAGGCAAATGAAGAACGGTACCATTGGTGATTTTGATGTATCAAAGACGCTGTTTTCTGGAAGTTTGTTTGATGTTGTCATTAAACTTAAGAAGGAATGTAATGATACTCATGCGTTAAATGTGAAACATGAGGTGGAAAGAGTGAAACGTGAGGTGGAAAATGTGTTACCTGGGAACGAAACGGCGACATTACAGAAAGTCATATGCCCAAAACCTGGTAACGTCACTATTGTAACCTTTCGCCTTCAAGTAAAGGATGCTTCTTCGAATAACCCCGACAAGCAACTTCAAGGTTTAAAAGCGAGCGTCGAGCGTGGCCAACTAAGAAACTTTTCGTTAATTCCAGAATGGCAAGCTTACATCCCTGGGGAGAAACAGTTTTTGGTTTCTTTTTATCTAACAAAGCCTTCTAAAAATAGGAGCGTGACAATCAAGGACCTAGAAGAGGCTATCAAGGATTTTTTCAAACTGAATGACAGTGACTACAGATACGTCATAGTTGATTTGCTGAGTGACAATAAAACGGCAGTTGTTAAAATCGGTATGAAGACAGTCGCCATTGATAAGCCAGGAGCAGTAATGAACCCTTTGAATCCACTGAAGGAAAAAGTCAATACGGGTACAATTGGAAACACTTCTGTGCTAGAAAAATCATTTGAAGCCTCCGTGAATCCCAGCACACTAACACAAAAAGTATTTCAAGTAGAGTTTCGACTTAACATGTCCGACTGCAATCTGAACATTAATCGTGAGAATGCTTCCAAAGCCGTCAACTATTACATACGCAATAGATTGAAAGAATACAAATGCTTCCTGAAAGCTGACTTCCTGCGTGATAAACTCAGGTGTCAGAATGGGTCTCGCTATAAAAAACAGCTCTTTATACATGGAGCCTTTTTAGTGTATGTACATCCGTCTGCTTCAGAATTACGTAACCAGTTTAACCCATTCTTACTCGAGTGCGGCAGAAATGCAGAGGGAGCAACCTATGATTGGGGAGTAAGGGTAACTCCTCTTACACCAACTCCAACCCAAACCAAAATACGAGAGGGAATTCGAATGGTCTGCCCCGATAAACACAAAACTAAACCTACGTCAGAGCCCATAGCAACCATCACTGTGACAGAAGGGTCAACATTTCCGACTTCCCCCAGCACAGAGGTACCAGTGTTAGATCCGAGTCTTTATGTCAAAGTGAGACTGGGTATCACTTGGGGAGAGTTTTGCTCCAAACTGGAGCACAGTCTAAAACAAAAAATAGCTTGGAACTTGTTCGACAAGAATGGTACGAAAATATCTCCCGACAGGATTATTTTCATCAACGTCGAGAAAAACTGCGCGGATCCAAGCAAGAAGGACGAGCAAGCAGAAGTGTGGTTCTACGTATCAAAAGTAGACTCCAATAAGCTGCACAAATGTCTCACACTAAAGGCTTACAAAGTACTGAAAATGTTCGTGGATAATGGAAATACCAAGCCTCTTGGACAAGATTTTGAGGGAAAGGTAGAGATTACTTTTCTTTGTTACTCACAAAATGTTTTCCCCTTCTAGTTTCAACGCCCCTGTTAGTTTGTTTGTCCATAACATCGTCTGCTTACACCCTTGGCTATGTTGCTGACCATCTTACTGCATGTCTGTCTGTCTATGGTTCCTTGACTCTAACCCTTGTTTCTCAGTGAACTAGGCAAACATTTAGCTAATGCAACATAACATACAAATAAAACAAAGCGAAGAAAAAGGCTGAAGAAAACCACAATCTGCGATAGAGTTTACACTGTATAGAGCTTGAATTTCAGTTGTTCAATAACAATAAGAATATACTCAAAGCGTTAATGGGCAGAATTGGTGTCCAGATATCAAGGAACAGATTGAGAATTTTAAAGGTATGGAGATTTTTTTTTCACTGAAACTGTGACCATCTCTTGATTTCAAGACTGAGGTATTATGTGTTTCACATAATTTTAGGTTATTCACGTAGATCTGGCTGGTGAGGATGCTTCCAAACACAAATCTAAGTACGATTCTGGTGATCTTTCATTACTGTCCATTATCCTTATCGCCGTCGCATGCGCAGTTGGTCTTCTCTTATTGACAATAGCATGCTGTTGTGTAAGTATATTAGCACCATATTCAGTTCATGAATGAGGAATATGAACATTTTGATGCGAGGGCAAGATTTATGGAAATATGTGTGCTTTCTGTGTTGCAAAACTTGAAGAAGTAGACAGGAACTCTTGGAAAGGAGACATAATGGAGGATGCTTATTTAAGATAGGAATGAATAAAAACGGAATAGGATAGAAGGAGTGGAAATGCAAAATAATAGAATAAAAAGTGGACGAGTCAGTGACAGCCTATCCATCTGTTGAGCAGGATATATCCGCTAGGGAAGATTTTGCTAATCTTAATACTCCAGTAGCAAACTATTCACAACCATTTTATTTGTAACATTTATCAGCTATTCTGTTGTGGTGGAAAAAGGCGAAGAAAACAGAAAGAGGAAGATTCGCATCCAATGCACGTGTTAATTGACGCGAATGGTGTAGATGTACATGGTGATATGAGAAGAAATGATGAAGATGACCATGAAAAGAAGAAGCGAAAAGCGAATAAGGAAAAGAAGAAAAAAGACAAAGGGAAAAAGAAAGAGAAAGAGAAAGAGAAAGAGAAAGAGAAAGACGGAACTGATGGCGGAAACGAAGGTGCTCATAGCAAAGGAAAGGAGGTATACCATGAATAATCTTTTAAGGTTCTGAATAGGAAGCTTATACCGTCCGCCGGTTTCAATTTATTAAGTTCCAACTTTCTCATTTTTTGTTTTAAAGAATGTTTAGGAATAACTCTTCATCTTACTTTTACTTCGTTACTAAAGGTTTCTTGATGTGCAGGTGTGAGCACGAGCTAAATAATACAAGCAGATACATTTTTCTCCTGATTCTTGGCCATTCATCTCTGTCGCTTAGTAGTGCTAATTGAGCGAGCTATCTCCGCCTGTAGCAAAATGTGAGCGTACGCACGAGTTTAATTCTTTCCAGAGTACGTGGTCCTTGGTAGTTTGATTTAAAGAGTCAGTGCAAGATCGAGTTCTGATCATTCAGACACGTCGCTGGGTGAACTTGCTTCTTTTAGCAGTAGTGAAAGGAACTACCGAAACGGGTTATAAAGCGCTGTGCCATTTCAAAGAGAATGACCGAAAAAAGTGCTGATAATTCATTTTATCAGCTGACTAATTTACTAATAGTCAGAGTTATTTTTACAACAGGGAGAAGGTAAGGAGGCAGGTGGAAAGGAAAATGTCGTATCTTATGAAAACCCAGCTTACCTTACAATTAATAACAATGGGGATGGGAATGAGTGTAATTTAAATAACTCAGCAGCTGGTCCAGCTCCTGTCATTGTCACTAGCCCGGCTCCTGACGTCGATGAAACTTTAGGAGACAACAGTGGCATTAGCCAACCAAAAATCAGCCAGGCTTCTGATACAGCTTCATCTGCTTCCGAGGGCTCCCGTAGAGGATCGGCAAATATTGGGGGAGAGGTGCGTTCAAAATATATCTTTAAGTGAGGATAATCATTTATGCCTTTTATCAGCTGTGGGATGAACGAGCCCAATTTTTTCCCTCCGATGCATCTCGCTATTTTTGACATCAGTACAGTAAGTGTGATTTATTTGTACCAGGAACAAGGCAGAGGTTCCAAGAGATCGAGCCCAGCTACTTTACGCCATAGTGATGTTCAATTCAAAGATCCCGGTAGGAGACGTTCTTCTGCTTACTCCACCCTTGAGGATGAGGACATACCGCTAACACATAAGACTGGCACCGTTGGGATTGTGGCTTTGGCGATAAGAAACAGGAATGAAAAGAAGAAAGAGGCCGAATTCAAGGTTACAAGTACTCAAAGTTAACCATAAACTACAACTGCTGCTAATACAGTTTAATTCGAAGTATTTTTGCTTTAAAATCTGAACTACCGCCGTAACATGCTTCACCAAACCAGTCAGAATTTTCAATCTACTTTTTCTAAAGAGAGATATCGTATGTTAGTCTATTTGAAAAAAAATTGTTTCGTGGATTCAAAAATTTAAGATTTAGTGTCATTCATTTCTTTAACGCAACCATTGCTTCTCTTTCATAAAATTATAAGACTCTTCATGTATATGTAACGAAAATTTTTATCCAAACCTTGTCATGTATCCTTATTAAGCCGTTTTCATCATCTCCCGATACTTTACATCTATCTAATAACAATATTGCGGACCTATGTCTTTTCAAGAACCTCAGCAAAGACGTACCTGAAGAGGAAGTGAACTACCCTGCTAGTACTCAGAGTAAAAACAGATCACCTGATGTACTGCCAGGTAAGGATTCTCCAGCTTTACCAAGAAAATATAGTAATTTTTTTTTGTTTGTTTGTTTTTTTTTTATCATTTATTAGGACAAGATAAACCAATTGACATTTACTGACTTCCGTTTCAGCTCCTAAGACCAGAGTAAAATTATCTTCAAACCCAGATTACATAAATGCTAACTGGATCAGGGTATTTACAGTTGTTGTATACATTTCTTC